GGTCCATCTGTTCTAATGCAGTGTTCAGTGTCTCTGTCTCCTTACTTATTTTCTGTCTGGTTGATCTGCTTTTTGGTGTGAGTGGTGTTTTGAAGTCTCTACAGTGAATGCATTGCATTCTATTTCCCCTTTATTCTGTTAGTATTTGTTTCACATTTTTAGGTGCTCCTACATTGGGTACATAGATATTTATAATGGTTATATCCTCTTGTTGGACTGACCCTTTTATCATCATGTAATGTCCTTCTTTGTCTCATGTTTCTTTATTTTGAAATCTATTTTGTCTGATGTAAATACTGCTACTCTTGCTTTTTTCTCCCTATTATTTTTATGAAATATCTTTTTCTATCCCTTCACTTTTTGTCTGTGTATATCTTTGGGTTTGAAGTGAATCTCTTGTAGGCAGCATATAGATGGGTCTTCTTTTTTTTATCTATTCTGCAACTCTATAGCTTTCGACTGGTGCATTCAGTCCATTTACATTTAAGGTGATTATCAATAGATAGGTACTTATTGCCATTGCAGGCTTTAGATCTGTGGTTACCAGAGGTTCAAGGACTGCTTTCCTACTATCTAACAGTCTATTTTAACTCACGCTATTTCAAGCACAATCTAAAAGTTCTTTTTTTTCACCCCTTCTTCCTTCTCCATTCTTTATATTTTAGGTGTCATATTCTGTACTCTTTGTGTATCCCTTAACTAAGTTTGTGAGTAGTTGATTTAATTTTGTATTTGCTTAGTAATTAATTGGTGTACTTCCTTTACTGTGGTTTTATTTTCTCTGGTGACAGCTACTTAGCCTTAGGAGCACTTCCGTCTCAAGCTGTCCCTTTAAGATACACTGTGGAGATGGTTTGTTGGTGATGAATTTCCTCAACTTTTGCTTATCTGGAAATTGTTTAATCCTTGCTTAAAATTTAAATAATCTTTCCAAGTAGAATATTCTTGGTTGGTTACCCTTCTGTTTCATTGCTTTAAATATATCATGCCACTCCCTTCTGGCCTTTATGGTTTCTGCTGAGAATTCTGCTGATAGCCTGATGGTGTTTCCTATATAAGTGATCTTTTTTTATCTCTCTGACTGCTTTCAGTACTCTCTCTTTGTCCTTAATCTTTGCCATAACCTGAGTGACTATTTCCTTCCCCAGATTGGGGAAGTTTTCTACAATTATTTCCTCAAGGTGACTTTCTATCCTTTTGTCTCTCTCTTTTTCTTCTGGAACCCCTATAATGTGAGTATTGTTGTTTGGATTGGTCCCACAGCTCTCATTATTCTTTGATTCCTAGTGAGCCATTTTTCTCTCTGTGCCTCAGCTTCTTTGTTTTCATTTTCTCTAATTTCTGTTTCATTTACTGTCTCCTCTACCTCATCTAATCTACTTTTAAATCCCTCATTGTATATTTCATTTCAGATACTGTATTTTTCAAAATTTCTGTCTCTTCACTGAAGTCCTCCCTGAGATCTTGAATATTTTTCTGTAGCTATATGAGCATGTTTATGAGTTTTATTTTGAAATCTTTATCAAGAAGATTGATGATTTCAGTTTCACAAAGCCCTCTTTCTGGCATTTTTTCTTGCAATTTTATTTGGACCAAATTCCTTTGCCACTTCATTTTTTAGTGTTTCCTATGGAATAATAACTTTGTGTAGGTGGCACCCTCTAATGCCCAGAAGCTCTACTCTCTGGCCACTGCTGTGCACCTGCAGCAATGGCAGGAGTCACAGGTGAATGGAACTGGCTCCTGCTGGGAGGAAGTAACTGCAGGCTGCATACTGCAGTGGGGGGCCTTGGGACTGCCGTGGCCAACCAGGGTCCTGGAGTATCTGAAGCTCCTGAGATTTCCCAACCTGCAGGGCTGAATGTGCCAGAAAGGTTTTGTCCTCCTGCCCTCTCTCCTGAGCAGTGAGCTATTTGTAATCTTTGTCCCTTTAGTGCTCCTCTTGCTGCTGCAAAGTCCTTCAAACTGCCTGCCTTTCTTTTTCCCAGGGGGGCTGGCTGTACATATATGTTCTCCACAAACAGCTGTAATATCAGTCTCTCCAAGTATTCTGCCCATCTTTGCTTTCCAGCCCACTGATCTCCAGAGCACCATGCAATGTGGGTTCGTGCTCCCAGAACAGCTCTCCACCCTGGGGCTGGGTGTTCAGCAGTCTTGGGCTTCTGCTCCCTCCCTATTCCATTTCTCTTTCTCCTGCCTGTGTTCTGGGTTGTAGGGAGGGCTTGTATCCCACCAGATTGTGGTTTTGTTCCTTCACCCTTTTCTGTGAGGTCTTCTCTTTCTTCCAAGATGCAGGCAGTCTGTTCTGGGAGCTTTTTCAGGATTAGTTGTATTTTTTGTATTGGTGTGTTTTATGTGATTTTGGGAGGAGGTTTCTGCCTCACTTCTCATGCCGCCATCTTTTTTTCTACCTCATTTACTTTTTTCAACAGCTTTATAGATTTGCTTACCTCCATGATACCTTTCTTGAAGTATGACAACCTCGCTTGCACAGAGGCATTCTGAGAATAAAGGAGCACTATTTCAAATATGCTCCTTGATGATATCCATGAATTTGGTTATCATTGACTTCAATGCCACATTGTTTGATATTTCTGAAAGGAAGCCTTTGAAATTCATAGATCCTTTCCTGGCAGCTTAGAGCCCATTATGCCACATACTTTTCCCTAAATGTTTTACTTGTCCTTTGATTGCATTGACTTTCTTCTGACCAATCCTCCTATGTCTCACTTCTTCCTGTAGGTTATTATCCATTTCCCACAAAACTCAGTAATACAGCTAATTCTATATCATTTATGAAAGTGTTTGATAGAGCTTCTGTCAGTAGTGACCCTGGGGAGAATATTGCATTTTATTTAGATACTTATTTTTGTGTAAGTCAAGGGCTCTTTGAAACACCAAAAAGTTATCACCTGAGCTTCCCTATTGCAGTGTCCTCTCATAGCTAATACTTAAGAGGCTGTTAATGGATAAAACCACCTCTCACTGTCATTAGAGGGACAACTGATCAGAAGGTGACCTTTCTTTGGAGAAGCTTTAGGCAACTGCTTCCTTGGGCAACAAGTAGAAACACCGAAGTTAGAGCTTGCTTCTACAATACTTAAAGTAGAAGGTCAAAGTCATTCTTAACTTGTATTATGGCTCCACCTCTACTCTATGACATAATGAAAATTTCAAACATATATGTAGCTCTTTCCTATGTGCTTTTTAAACCTTACTTTTCTAAGAGATTACATAGACCAGCATTCAATTTACAGAATCCAAATTGCTTTTGCACAAATATATCATGGTTACTCAAGTATGGTCATACCTCTTTGCACAGGTCATTCCAGCCTCTTGATTAAAAGCTCAGAAGGAAATGGGAGGGCTTCAATTGTATTGGTACTTCTTATATTGTGTGGTACATCCATGGATATCTGTTGTCTTAATTCTTATAGGTTTTGAATGTCTTAAAAACTTCATTATAATTTATAAAACAAATGCAGCTCCAGAAAATAATTGTGTGATACTGAATCAGGAAAAGTAAGACTCAGTAATATACCCATTAAGGGACACCACACTTGATATATATTACTTCTTTGGGAACAGGAGAATCACCATCTTTCATTTGGTTATCATTTTTCTTTTCTGAACAACTATTATGAAAATGTTTATTATACTTACCTTTGAATTTCAGATTAAGCCCATAAAAAAATTTAAAGATATAGATTCCAACTATTGACAAATTTGCTTTTAGTTTTATATTAAGAATTGTAATTATTCAATTTTATATGGCAAATGACCAAAATACTTTTCAATGACTTTGCATAGTTGGATTCACACTTGTAGGTAATATAGAGGAAAAGATGCATTTGAACTAAGCCACTGAAAAAACAAAATCCTACATGTATGTTTTATATTTTCATTATGTCATAGAGTAAGGTGGAGCCACCATATAAGAGTGACTTTAACCTTCTAATGCAAGTGTTGTAGAAGCAAGCTCTAACTTCGGTGTTTCTAGTTGTTGCCCAAAGAAGCAGCTGCCCAAAGTTGTTCCTGGAAAAAGTTCACCTTCTGATCAGTTGTGCCTCTAATACAGTGGGAAGTGATTTTATCAATTAACAGCCTTGTAAGTATTAGCAATGGGAGGACACTGAGGTAGGGAGGTTCAGGTGATAATCCTAGGAATAAACCCAATGATGGAACAAATATTTATTGACATCCAACCAAATATCAAATAGGTGCTGCAATACAATAGAACTCTTTGCCTTTCATTTATTAACCAGACTTGGATAAAGAAAGAAAAATCAACATATAATTCAATATCTAGTAAGAATTTTTCATATTGTTTCTGGTCTCTCAGCCCAATATTCCACATCACATCCAATTCAAAACCCTTATGTTCCTAATTGTTGGAATGCAAATTTCCTTGCAGACTTCAAAGGAAAGAAATAGTTGACTGGTCTTTTGAATTCCAGATTTAGGAATCAAGACAAGTGGTGTCTGTCTAAAATATTCTTGTAGTAACTGTCTGATTCACTTGTGCATTGCTGTGTATCTAACCACCCCAAACTTGGCAGCTTAAAGCAATGATGATTTAGATTTCTCCTAGTTCTGTGGGTTGAGTGTGCCTTGAAAGTTTAAGACAACCTCTCACATGGGGCATTGGTGGTGGATGTTGGTTGGAAGGCCTCAGTTCTCCTCCACAGGCCTCCCATCCTCTAGTAAATCAGACCTGCTTCCTTATATGGCAGTCTGGGGACGGCGTTCCAAGACAGTGACAGCTGAAGCTTCAAGCCTCCTTGAGGTCTAGGTTCTGGAACTCATATGACACTTTTGTACTACATTCTGTTGATCAAAGCAAGTTATAAAGCCAGCGTAGAATTAGGAAATGGAGGAACAGACTCTACTTTTCAATGGGAGGATCACCAAAATCACATTGCCAAGAGGGATGTGTATAGGAGCAGACAGTTAACTATGGCCATCTTTGTAAACACTTTTTTTTCTTCTTTTTATTAAAGCGGGCAGACCAAAGGCAACCCGGCTGTGCAATATTACTACATATGGAGAGATAGTATTAGAAAAGGTGACAATAGGAAATTGCAATGAAAATCTGGAAACCCTGGAAAAGCAGGTATGCCACGTGGCCCATGTGATGGGCACCTGGAAAAAGTGCAGATAGTGCAGTCTCTGTTCTTCAGATACTTCATGACTGAATCAATGCTTTTAACTTTACAATTAGAAATAAAAAATAGTAACTAAAACCTTTCTTATATTTTTGGAGTTGGCAACTGTGTATGAAAAAGTACAGTCGACATGTCAGTTCAGCAAATTTCAGCAAATGATAATCTATAGTATATTTTATGTGGCCTGATCTTTTTTGACCAGTGAAGTTTTGACTAAAAATAGATCCTTGATATTTGAGACCTAAAGGAAGGTATTTTGATGGTCTATTGGATTGCAATAAAGGGAAAAAAACTTTGACCAAAGACCTTTTGATACAGGAAACTTTAGTATCTAATGCTGGTCTCAATCTGTATCCATGAGAAGGTGAAATGGGAAATACATCTGACTAGATAGGTTTTCATGTAGATTAAATTATTTTGACTAAGGATATGCCCAGATACATGTAATTGTTAATACCTGGGGCAAAGCAGAGAGAGGAAAAGGAAACTTACTTTTATGTGGTCCCTCAAGGTGCCAGGCATGTTACATATGTTACCTCATTTAGTTACCTCATTAGTCCTTATAGAACCTCTTGTGAGTTAGATGTTATTTCCATATTATAGATTATTATAGCTAATCACATTTACTAATTATTGAGCACTTACTGGATGCCAAATGCTGTGCTGAGCATTCTATAAACATTATTTTATCATGTTTAATTCTTGTAACAACTATAAAGCTAGTTATTAATATAGCCATTTTATAGATAAGAAAACTGTCACTGAGAGGTGTAGTGTTTTGCCCAGTGAACATAGCCAAAAGGTGATAGAGCTCCTCTTGATGTTAAAGTCCACACTGTCCCGCACTAGCTCCCTAACCCAAGATGGGCAGTGGTGTGGGTGGAGATGGTAGTGGATTGTGGAAGTGGCTGCCAACCATATGGGCAGTGCCAGCTACACAGACTGGGGGAAAGACTTCCTGTTCTAGAGGCTGACAAACTAGTTTTTAATCCACAGCTCTATCACTCCTAAGCTGCATGAATTTAGGGTGCACTTCTTAACCTCTTCAAGCCTTTAAATAAGAATGAGGATGCTTAACTCACAATGTTGTATTAAACCTATAAAGCATTTAGCAAAGTGCCTATCACACAGCAGGGAATGGCAATTGAATAAGAACATTATTTGTTTCTGTCTAGTGATTGGATATTGTTTCTAACTTTTACCCAAGCTTGAATGGGATATGATCTCAGTTTGATTTTTGAAACGATGCTGCCATCTAGTGAAAAACGACTCCACCCCCCACCCACATTGACACCCAGCTCTACTAAAAACAACATGGATTACATGTGTTAACCTCACAACAGAATCTGGGGACTAGTTGGTACCTGGAAAGGTTGTGAAAGTCAGTGCTTCCCAAACTATCTGTGTTGAAAAGCCAGTTAAAAAATTTCTCACCTATTGCAGACCAATGATTTTGTAAAATATAATAAAAATGAGAATTACTAAGAAAATGAAATAAAAAACATGAAATACAAATCTATTTAAAAAATTATTAGATTCAAGACATACAATTGTTACATACATTTCTGATCACTTATTCTCAGTTTCTGTGCTTAGCTCCTAGGGACCCTGTACAAACAGTGAACCAAAATGGGTCACAGCTTGAGAAGTTGCTTATGTAGCTAAGACAGCCTGTCAAAGTTAATGAATCCTGGCAAGTAGTAAAGGCTAGAAAAACCCCTGGCTTGCATGTACTTGTCCTTTACACAAGGAAAAAGCAAGCATAACACATTGAGCGGATATGATGTTCTGGACACTGAGGATCAGCGAAACCCCACTTTATTAACCTGCAGTTGCTTGCAAAGTGTTTAGATATAGTTGTATAAAGTTAGTCTTTTTTTTTTAAACAGATAGTCAATATCTCAAAAGAGTCTAACAATATTTCTGCTGAAGCCCAAATTTTAACATCTGATGCCAATAGATTAACTCCTGACAACCTCACTTCTGCTACTAGAGTGGCTGGACAGATCTTCAACGCATCCAGATATGCTTCAACTGAGGTAAAACTCACAGGTTTTAAAAAAAAGAGAGGGGAAGAAAGACTTAGAAAGATATAGGAAAAAGACAAATCAAGAAATAATTTTATTAGTATAATAGTTTTGCTAAATGTAATTAATGAAGTATAGTTACAGTGTTTTGAGAATCTGAACTCTTACTTTGTTTCTGCTTCTGTATCCAAGCATCTGCTGCTTTTGTGTTCTTGAGGGTGGTGATGGAGGTTCTTTGAAGACCTTGTCACGAGCTCAAATTTAGAGACCTAAGTTTTCTAATTGACTAAATTTATATTTTCACCCTGCCTTATCTTTATTCTTTCTGCCACTTTCTGTAGATCAAAAAATAAACCTTCATTTCTTTTTGCCCCTCTATTACCATAACAATGGTACCACTTGATACCATAATAATTCATCATAATGCTGGATGATTTGTGTCTTCTATGACAATTGGTGCCTTCTTCCTGGCAGGCAAAACGAGTGGCTGTTACAACAGTGAGTCAACTTCTAGATGCCAGTGATGACGTTTTTCAAAGAGCTGCTGCTGCTGATAATACTAATAGTTTTGCAACGTAAGTACAATTCCAATTTTTAAGAAAACCTGACAAACAGCCACTTATTTTCCTAGGTTAAAGCATTAGCAGAGGGTCTTTGTTTCTCCCATGAATATACTAATTGGCTGATTCCGCTAGAATGCAGACTGGAGCACTGGCTTCCCATGTGATCTTTCGTTACTAGGTGGAGTAGTATGTTAACTCTAGTTACAGGGTGGCCATGACGTGGAGGAGAGTAACTGGGATGATTCAGATTAGAACTTTATTTCCTAGATTTAGTTCCGCCCAGGCCAAGGGACAACCTGCTTGCATAATAGGAGCTTTTCCAACTCCTTTCTAACGCACAGAGCAACAGATAACAGTATGACTTTGCAGGGTGTGTTGCCAGCCCCCTGCCCCAAAGCTCAGCACTTCCCAAGATACCCACTTAAGTTATCTTGACCAAATGGAGACTTATTGTTAAGAGGCAAATGGAAACCCAGGGAACCTAAGAACAGTATGAAAGTACAGTGGAATCCTATAGACCCTGGGAGTGGGGGGATGGCAAGGCATCCAGAACAACCTTGAAGATCTCCATAGAGGAGTTTATGGGTCTTCATTCTGGGATAATATGATGGTTGTGGCCATAACCTTTAAAGTCAGACAGTCCTGGGTTCAAATCTTAACATTTTTATATATAGCACGTACGTGATTTTGGCCAAATTCCTCCACATTTCTCTGAAGAGCATCAGACTCTTCAATCTAATATAGAAGGTAATTTTGGGACTCATTTAAGTAGGATTCTTAAATGAAATAATGTATGCAAATCAGTAGCATAATATCTGACTTACACATGTTAAATTTTAAAAAAAAGTTAGCAGTTGTCTGTATAATTACTATGACCCAATAAGTATGTATTACTTCTAGGGTCTGCTGTCTCATAATTTAACCTTTTTCATGATGCTCGGGAAATAGAACTAAAAACGAACCTTCTCCCAAACCAGAAATGTTCTCCACAAAGGTAGTGTTGGATTCCCCTGAGGAAGGCGCCGCCCCAAATCACTCACCAAAGACGTTTCTTGATGCAACAAGCAAGAGGAATTTATTCAGAAGCCAACTAGTTGGGGTCCAAGTCAGCCCCTCACAGCGGGTCTCAACGAGGACCCCAAACACTTCTAACTAAGGGGTTATATAGGATTTCCGAGGCATTCAGCCCTAAAGGATTACCATGGTTACAGATTAGATAACAATTCTACAAAGGCAGTAATTTTTCAAACCTATGATTTCTGGGTTGGTGCCACGTCCTGGGGGTGTAGCAAGATAGGATCATTCTCTTACTGCTAGGGTGATTTAGCAAGGTAGGGTCGGCATTTATGATTAACTAACCGAGAGGTTAGCGCTGCCAGCAGTCATGATTGATTAACTTGTTTTTCCAGAGGAGTTACCTGGTTTCAGTTGTTCCCTCTGAGTCATATATCAGAATGGCTTTTTGGGCTTCAAGATGGCCACTCTTAGGCTAACTTATTTCTCAGGGAGGTTGGGGTCCTACAGTAGTAGAGAAAGAAAACACTTTCATTGTTGTGTAAACATTAAACCAGGATGTGGCACGCATTACAAAACTCTAAGAGATTTCAAGGGTAGAAAGGAATCCTACCTCTTTTATAGCCAAGCAGTATAGCCCACTACATACATGTCTTCAGATAAACATTAACTAGTCCTCAAATAAGAGAACTTGATAGAACTATTGGTCACTCATACTTCATCCTAAATTAACTTGGTAATTGAGGTGACCATTTGTATTAGCTAATTGACTTTATCGAGAGGAAATCAAACTTCTCATACCTTTAGGACAGCAGGTAGTCTTGCAGCTTGGGGCAAGGTGCCCCTCCACCGACATCAGGCTCCTTTTCTCCCCAGAAATCGGGAGATAGGGGCACTAGCCCCCTTAATGTTTACATTTCAAAGAGATGGCTCCTAGGACCTGGAGAAAGATATTCCTAGGTCATTAAACTGACAAAGGATTTATTTACATTCCAAAGAGAGGAGAAAGTACCTATAAATTTTCTTAATTAAATGCTAAAAAAAAAAAGAGAAATTTCTTCCTATATTTTCAACAGGATGAATTAAGCCTCTTATTTTTAATTTGCATTTGTCCTTACAATGACACAATGACCTCTTTGCTCCCCTCTGCACCATGACTTTCCTTAAAGCAATTGCACTCACTGAAAAATTCCTGAGTGAAAGAATCTGAGTGAAAGATTGGGCACTCTGAGTCAGGCACCCGTCTCTCATCCAATCAGTTACATCAAGGGAAGGGAAGAATCGTATGGAAGAAAAAATGGCCTTAGGAGTGCCTGTGGCTACAGCATCCCTTTCAAAGTGGTTCTGAACATGGAATTGACCCCATACATCAAGCACATCTTTCCCTTTAGCCTTCAAATGCTTGAGGGAGCATCTCTTGGTATTTCCAGTGTCTCACGGGATACTGACCTTTTGGTAGGTACCCAGTATATATTGTTTGGTTGATGAATATATGAATTATGTTCTTAGCAGACTGGAGTTTTGTTAGGTATTCCTCCTGTTGACAGTTCTGGAGTATGATTGTTATTCAGTTAAGTGGGACATATAGTGTGAATTGCTGAGAATTCAGAAAACAGTTCATGAAAGGAAAACATTTGAAACAGAAACTGACTTGCATGTTTCCATATGGATGATAGTTTATAAAGTAATCTTTAATTATTTTAAAATTTATCCTTAATTTTTAGCTCACTTGGGGAAAGGAAAAGATATTTTCATGGCAGAAATAAAGACCTAAAATACGGAACAACTACATTTTCATGAAATCCTTTCATTTCTGGTAAAACTAGATCAAACCTTTTATCCCAGACACAGAGATTTTGTTTTGTCATGTACTGAAGTAGTGTATATATTTCTTATAGGAAACAAGAAAAAGAAAAGGTCTTACGACTTTTCTTTGGACAACACCAAATTGACAGGTTCCTCCTGAAAGGAAAGGAGCGACACACAGCAGCAATTCACCGGAGAATTCCGCTTTATTAGGGAAAGGTGCTGGGTTACATAGGAAGGGGCATGAATTGATTGAGGTGTCACTTCTGCGGGGCTGTTGGCTGTTGGCTAGGTGCTGGGATTGGGAGGGGGGCAAGAGGTGATTGGGCTTCAGGTGGCGCCGGCAGGAACCGAGGACCCCGAAGAGAAGCCGGAAGTTTGCCATCTTACTGGTGGGGGCCCTTCACCTCCTATTGCATCTCAACTCTCATCTATAAATTTATCCGAAGTAGAAAAGAACATTGTGAAAACCTGCAATGTTAATTTAGTTAATAGCCAAGATAATGAGCTCAGAAATCTGCTCTCCCATGGTTCCTTGTGAACTGTTGCTGCAGGAACCAACAATTTACTAGAGATGCTTTGGACACCAAGGGGTTTAGGTGAGAGGTGGAGTTATGTAACTAGAATCAATTCTTACCATTGCAGAAGGAAGAGCATTCCTGACCAGTGGTGGGTAGCAACAGCATTCTTTTATGTGAAGAGCAAAAAGAGAGACTATTTCTATTGAGAAATCTGTCATTGAGTTCTAGCTTGTGCTAGACTGACTTTTAGGTGATTGTGCCAATGTTACCGCATGAATTCTGTGGCCACACTTTTCTACTGGGATGCAGGAGAGAACACGCACCTCTGATTTTATGACGAATCTCTAGATTATTATGTTGTTATGTCCTATGCAGACTTGTTGAGCAAATGGAAGATTATTCCTTGTCTTTGGGTAATGAGTCAGTGGTGAGCCCTAATCTAGCAGTAAAGTCCGTTAATTTTTCTTCCAAAGACACTGTGGGATCTACTGATGTTCTCTTCACTGTGACGAAAGGTGAGCTGTGTTTCATGTGCTTTTAATAGTAGAGAGCATTCTGCTACTGACCATGAATAATGCTCTATTCATGAAAATCTAGACTTTTAAAATCCTACTTTTTCCTTCTCACAGGAAGTAGTGATTCTTTTGTTTCTAGTTCCATATCTGTGAACATAAACAATAAAGTGCTTGAACCAAATGAACAGACTGAACTTCAGATCTTGCTCAGCTCGGAAGGTAGGTCTCACACTGTTACCTTAAAAAAGGCACTCAAATCCATAGAATTAAAAACTTAAAATCTACTGAGTGAGAAAGTGAGAAGTAATGTTTACATAGCTTCACACTAAATAATTTTTAAGTACATTTGATGTCTGACAGATTATGGTAATCTCAACTCTACTGTTCTAGGTCATAGAGATGATTTCTCCTTTTTTTTTCTTTTCAAAATCCCTTTGGAGGGTAACAATTGAAATGCTCTGGCCATGGCAGACACAAATCTATTTTTTTTTACAAAAATTAGCTAACACAATTCGATTTCACAGTTAAAAATAAATTAAAAATATTCAGTTACAAACTCTGCCTGTATTTACTAGTGGTATGGCACTCACAGGCTTAGATTCATCCTGTAGATCTGCCCTTGGGCTATTTTATGTAACTGACACAGTTTATCTAGTAGCACCAATTTTCAGTTATCTCTACTAATGGCGACCACCATGGGCTCCCTATCATCTTGCATATGGCTCTTCAGAAATCTTTATGTCTTACTTGAGATGTTTGTACTTTTCAAAGTTTAAAAAAATTGGTGGATTAATTTGACAATAATAATAAGCAAACTAAACACACGTTTACTTTTCCTCTCATCAAATAAAAACATCCAATGTTAGAAAGTATGTATTTAGAATTCAAAATAGCACTGAAAAAGAAGAAAGGTTATTATTTGTGGTTCTGGCATGCTGTTATGTGGAGTGTTGCTTCCATTTGCTTTGGCCATATGCTTTGTGAAGATAGAGACTAAATCTGAGTCTTTTATGCTCTTATCTATGCTTTTCTTTAAATTTAAAAATATTTAATGCATACAGAAAAGTACAGAAAATAATACAAGCAGCACCTAGGTACCACCAGTAGGGTAAATAGATGTCGATTTTGCTATATTTGCTTCAAACCTCTTAAAAAAGGGAGATATTACAGCTGCACCTGAAAGTTCTGCCTTATCTTTTCACATCCCATCGTCCCCAATATTTTATCTTTCTGAAGTTAGTTTATATTATTTTCATGGTTGTGTTTAAATTTTTGTTGCATTTTTATATATCCATACATAAAATATCCTATTTTTCAAGTATTTTGAGGATTTATGTAAATGGTATCATGTTGCATGGAACTTACTTATTTTAACTTAACCTACTTTTTTGGAGATTCATCCATGTGTTATCAAGCTTTTTTAAGCTTTCTCTTTTCTGATTAATATGATGTAGGCATTTTTATTTTCGTTTTGCTGCTTAAAGCTCAATGGTATGTTAGATTTTTCTCTTTGTTTACTTGAGCATCTTTCCACATGTTTATTAGATATTCTGATTTCCTACTCAGTGACTTGTTTGTTCAAACACTATGGTCATTTTTCTGTTGGATTGCTTGTCTTTTTCTTATTGGTCATTAGAAATTCTTTACACATTCTGGATACTAATTCTTCATTGGTACATAAGTTGCAAACATCTTTCCTCCACCCTGTAGCTCTCTTTTGCTTGGTTTTGATATCTTTTGCAATACCAAAGTTTCAATTTATAATGCAATCCAATATATCAGTCTTTTCCTCTATAATTGGTACTCTTTAAAAGAAGTCCTTCCCTATGCTAAAGTCACAATGATAGAATCCTATATTTTCTACTGTGTGTGTTTAGTGTTTGTATGTACGTTAAGGTCTTCAGTAAACCTAGAATTTATGCTTGTGTTTGTTGTAAGATAAAATCTAATTTTTTTGTTTCATATAAACTATTGATATATTCAAATGAGCTAAAAAACACTTAAGAGACAGAGGCTAGATTAGATTGTAAGGAACATATTTTTATATTGATTTAATTCAATCTCCAAGATTATTTATGTTTTAATTCTTTGTTCCCTTCCTGAAGCATCGCCAAAATGTATAAACAAAAATTATTGGAAATATAGGGACACATTGACCAAATCACTATCATAGGAACATATTTTAGTACAGCTGTCCCAGAAATTGCAGATCAACTAGACAAAAAAATGACTACTAAGCTTGACCTTTATATACATTTGAGTATGTTTGTTATTTTATTTATAGAAAACAGATGATAAAAATTCTTTTCAAATATTCATGGAATGCTTCAAAAACTGACATTAGACCACCTAGAAAAACTGACACATTTTGTAAAATAAAAGTTACAGGGAACGTAGTTTCTTACCACAATGCAATAAAACTAGAAATGTATCACAAAAGACTATCCAAAATTTTACCCAATTAGAAATTTTAAAACATCATTGTTAGAAAAGAAATCAAAGTGCACATTAAAAATTACTTGAATACTGATGGAAATGAAAATAATACATATCAAAACCTATGGGATATGGACAAAGAGGTATTTAAAGGAAAATATGTATCCTTTACAAAATTTATTAGAAAATAAATGAATTGTTCAAAAATGAACTAAACATTCAGCTAAAGAAGCATAAAAAATAAAATTACTACAAAGAAAGCTAGAATGAAGGAATTAAAAATATAAGGGTATAAATTAATAAATGTAGAAGTTAATAAATGTTAGACTTGATTAACAAAATGAAAAATTGGTTCCATGAAAAGATTAATGAAGTAGGCAAGCTTCTGACATATCTGATCAAGAAAAGAGAAAGAGGAAGGAAGGAAGGAAGGGAGGAAGGGAGGGAGGGAGGAAGGGAGAGAGAGAGGGAGGGAAGGAGGGAAAAGACAAATGAACCAAAGGAGGTACATCCAGAAATATGGAGATTTTTAACAACTATAAAATAATGAATCTGAATATCTAGATGAGAATGATGATTTCTAGTAAATGACCAAAATACTGTAGGAATGGGGAGAGGAATGACCAGGGACTTTCATTTTTTTTTACTTTTATGCTTCTATGAATTTGAATTTTACATCAAGCTTATCATTCTTTTATTTTAAAAAGAGCATAATAAAAGGAAGTCATTACATTTATAGAGTTAACTTTGTCATCTAGTGTTCTGGATGAAAAATTTACTGAGGTCAATGTGCTGTGAAAACCCCCAGAAACCAATGTTTTTATTTCCAGGTAGAGGATGGAGCACCATGGCTGGCTGTGCAGGGCTTTTTAGGAGCTGCCAGGGCCTGCCTCCTCCTCAAATCACATGACCGGAATAGGCTGGTCTCTCTGCCACTGTTTTAGTTTTCTGTGTATCACTTGTAAAAGACAGCAGAGTTTGGGGAATTAATTCAGTTAAAATGAATACTTACTGTTTTTTCTCCCCTTGTTTTAAATATGGTCAACAGTTGTGTAAAGTGTTAGGAGGCATTCCTGAAGTGGGTGCTTGACCACTGCTGCTGTGGCCTTGCCCGTCTAAGATTTCTGAGGAACAGCTGACCACTTTTTCCAGTATCCCAAAGAAACATGTCACAATTGTTTTCCAGCCTTGGGCAAAGCCCATGATTGTCAGGAAATAGATAGTTCAAGATGATGGACAGTGTATGGCTCCAATCACTGATATGTACAACTTGAGCCCATGGCTCTGTGATAATAGACTGGTCCCTGCTCAGTCTGTTTGAACCAGGAGACAGATCTCATGGAGCACTTTTCTAGGCACAGCTGTCTTGATATTCACTCTTCGCTATTTCTTGTCTGGTTTCTTATCAGTGGGGAAAGCAACATGGGCTTTGGGTTACCGGCATGTCACATTCACTCTGTCTCACTGTATAATTAGCAAGATGTTTATTTTATACATAAGATACTCAAAATAACTTCTTGAATGGACTAGGCAGAAATTTTTGTTCCTCTTTAGAAAGTAAGGAATCTGAACCTCAGGAAAAAAAATTAGTGGAGGTAGAAGGGCCAAAGCAGGTTATATATATTATTTACATACTGCAATTAATTAAAGGTTCTGTCACCAAACCATTTTTACTGTACTTTTCTTAAATATAAAGCAGCCATGCAGTTAAAAAATGACATAGAACTTTGTTTTTTGTTTACCCTAGGGGTCATTTATTGATTTTAATATCTTTTTTTTTGTTTTACCTCATAGGTAACAGTCAGGCATGTGGTTTTGTAGTGTATCAAAACAACAAGCTTTTCCAATCAAAAACCTTTAAAGCTAAATCAAATTTTACTCAAAAAATTATCTCAAGCAGCACTAAGAAAATTGAGAGAGCTCCAAGTACTGTTAAAATGGTCTTTAGTCCAAAGGTGAGTTTTTCCATTGACAGAAACAAAGTATTTTGCCCACTCTTGATCACAAAGGCAGGGATAGTTGGGGCAAAAGAAACCCACAGAAAACTCTTTGAAAGATGCTTTGAAAATTTTTATTTAAACCTTACCCCCATCTATCTATTTTTGTCAAAGTAGCAAACTGTAAAATCAACTAATTTGAATTTTTTAATCCCTTTTTTCCCTCTCTAATCTATAATGAAGAAGATACTATGCTTAGTACATATCTAATTGATTTCTCATATGCTTATCTTATTTAATCTTTTCTGCTTGATTAAGCATTTAAAAAAATCAGTTGCAATTGTCTTATCAATTCACAGTATAACCAACAAGAATTCCAACTCCATTCCTATGCCTGTGTCTATTGGAATTTTTACAAGAAGGATTGGGACACATACGGCTGTCAAAAAGTCAGTAGCACTGATAAATTCCTGAACTGCTCCTGCAACCATACTACTAATTTTGCTGTATTAATGGTAAGGACATAAATAGTGATCTCTTTCCAGAGAAGATTTTCCCTTATACACAATTCTGCTCTGTGCTGGTTGGAGACAACTTTAGTGTCCAGTTTACACAGCTACTCTATTCAGATGAAATGGAAAGACAGGGAACAGAGTGACAGGATTAAAAGAGAAGTGCTGGGATAGGCAAGTAGAATAGTTTTTTGCTGTATGATTTCAGGATAGATGAGTTCGACATTGTGTATCTAATAATGAGAAGGGATCACATGTGCAAAAGAGGAGCTGACAGATTTTATCCCATTTAACTCATTCTCGTGTTCTGAAGCCTGGAGTTTTATAGCCAGAGTTAAGGCTGTGTGCTGGAAACAGATTCAATACATACTTAGGTATGGTCAGTTTAAATAAGTTACCCAAAGCTTTTTCCATTGGAATAATCCAAGTTACTAAACTTATTCTAGAAGATATAAGAGGAAAAGCTCTTGAATTCATTCAATTTGTACCATAGTTCCCCTATGTATTTCTCTAAGTCTTAACTCCAAAGCTACCCTGTACAAGTAACTGATAACACTTAGCTATAAGTACACCTCTGAAAGTCCTTGGGCTGACCCTTTTAAGAAGAGGGGCTTCTGTTTGTTTCATTTCAGAAACTTATTATCCTGGTGAAACCAAAAATGTTTGTTTAAATACTTGAAGGAATGTTTTTATATGCAATGCCCTGAGGAGGGATAAAATGTCTCACTCTTGTTAAGGGACTATTGACCCTATGACTCTCCCAAAGAGAAAAAGATGTGTTCATTCCCCAGTAGTTTTGATGTAACCATATTTGGGAGGCCAGTGGAGATCAGAACATACTGGTACAACAAAGAATACCAAGTTACAGAATATGCTTTATAAGATTTTTTGAGATAACTAGCTTTCTTATTTTACTGATCAACCCTTTCTTATTTTGATTATTTTCTAACATATTACAGAGAGATCTGCTTTCTCAATAAGAAAATATAAAGATAAAGTTTTAAGTTTTTTGATATCTTTAGATCATTAATACCTTTCAGTAGCTGTGTAAAACTCAGACTGCTGTACATATTAAATGACACAGACTGCATTGTTGTAGTTTTTTCTCCTTTTTTGAGGTCAGGCATTCTTCTCACTAGTATCTGAGTCTGCCTAAATGCCTACGTACTTACACTTGTAATTAGTTTTGGGTTGTGAAGTTTTAAGAAAAATTAGATTAGAATTGTACAGACAAAGTAAGAACATACAGGTGCTAAATGAATAGATGATTACAAAGATCTGAAGATCTATGTAGTCTGTGATTCTTTGTTCTCTACTCAATATAGTGCAAACAGGAAGTAACATGAAATTCTTGTTTTATTACTTTTAAAAACATTTATTTTCTTTCTACAAAAAGTAACACATATTCACTGAATAAAGTATGAAAGCTTACCTACTGAGCAGAAGTACACTGATATGGAAAGATGTTCATGGTTACTTAAAATAGCAATTTGAGAAGTCTTATTATGCTAACAAACTCCTATATATTTGTGAAGGAGACAGAAAATATTTGAAAGCACATAGAAAATGGTCACCTCTGGAAAAGAGAGATTTTAAGAAGTAAGGTATGATATGGGGTGGCAGGCAGTAAAGAGAAAACTATGCTTTTTTAATTATGTTTTTATATTACTTTCATATTTTATAGATAAGCATATTTTGCTTTTCTAATTTTAACAATTAAAAAAATTAAAAGTGCAGACAAGCAAAAAGAATTATATGTCTCCTACCCAAATGGTGACCACTATTATTACCTCTCCACATTTCTAAGAGTACATACTTACATGGAATATACTTTTCTATGAATATATAACAAATGGAATAGATGTAGATATAGCACACAAAAATGAGACCTCTTTTAAAAGAATTAACAGGATCATATGAAACTCTTTCCATGTCCATAGAAATATTTCTGCATCATTATATTTTTTAGTGCATTAGCTGAAATATGCAGATTTCCCCTTGGGTTATAGTTACACATAAAAATAAGGTAAGGAGTAAATGAAGCAACTCTAGCTAATTCAGACCTGATCCAAACAACTTTGATGCAAGACACTGAGGAAAAGTATATATATTTTCCCTATCTGATTAGTTATGTAACTGTTCTCAATCTTCTACTCCATGTAAACTGCTTAGAGATAGGGGTTATTTCCTTTTTTGAGTAAATCAACAGTTTTATAAAAAGAAGACATATCTGGCAACTATCTGGTTATTTTGACCAACATAACTTGGGATAACTCTCATAGACATTTTAGGAATAGTTATTTAAAAATATGAGTCTTAATTTATTTTGCAGAGTTTCAGAAAGACATATAAATATCCTGAATCACTAGACATAATGTCCAACGTTGGATGTGCACTGTCCATTACCGGTCTGGCTCTCACAATTGTATTTCAGATTGTCACCAGGTAAGAAGGGAAGCAGGCTCTTGTCAAGAGAGAAATTGCTACCCTGTTATTATTTCCTCTGAGCATATTCTCATTAGAATACAATCTCTTGGAACTAGAAAGGAAATAAAATTTAGTTTAACACGCTCATTTTATAGAAGAGGACACCCAGTCCTGGAGAGGTTGAGAAATACACACAAATAAATATGTAATTATAAATTGTGGTACGTACTTTGAAGGAAAATTACATACAAGTTTGTCATGTAAAACTAATATGGTCCTGTAGCTTATTAATGCCACAGTTCTTTTGTGTCGAAAAGAACCATACCTACCAATTTGCATTTATAAAAGAAAGAAACATTGCTAAATGGCAAGTTTTTGAAAATAAAATGAATTAAAAAATGTATTAAGTTTTCAAATGTTGAAATTTTTTAGATTTTTAATTCCATAGTTAAAAAAATATCTAACTGAAAGAAATTACCTGTAACAGTGACTGCACTGGAGAGGGTGAGGACTTGATAATATGAGTAACTGTTGAACCACAGTGTTGTGTATTTGAAACCATCATAAGATTGTATATCAATGATACTTTAATTTAAAAAATTACCTATAAACACATCTCTCTCCACCTAGACCTTCTTACTCAAGGTCCAATTTTGCATAGCACTTGTTATGTTTTTTCATATGCTTTATTTTTAATAATCTGTAAATATAAACTTGTTATTTATTAGTTTAATTGTATACTCTCTGTTTTCCCATCAGCATGAAAATTGATGAGGACAGTTACATAGCCCGATTTTGTTGTCGCTCTTATTTGTTTTGTTTTAATTTCATCACTGAATTCCCAGGGCTAAGCATAATACCTGGCCCACAGTAGAGGAATATCTGTAGAATTAATGGGTCTATTGAGCATTCCTACCTGGCTCTACTCTCAAACTCAAGATGTACTCATTTTTTGTTCAAAATTATTTCTGCCTTCCAAATTCCTTCACAACTGTTTTCTCAGATGTGTCGATTCCAATGTGTAATTTTATATTATATGTGTAAATTTTAAAGGTATTGCCATTTAAAATATTTTCCTGAAGTCTTATTAAAAAATTAAAAACCTACAGAAAAGTTGAAGGAGAACACTAAACACCCATATAACTTTCACTTAGTTCACTAATTATTAATATTTTGCTTTATCTCTTTTTTTTCCTGAAAATCTGAAAATAAGTTGTAGACATCATGACTGTTTTTTCTAATTTCTTCAAGATGCATCTCCTAAGAGCAAGAACATTCCCCTACATAGTATAATACCATTATCTTCACTCAGGACACTTAACTCAAGTAGTTTAACATAAATATAATATTATCATGTTAGTACACAATCCATATTCAGATTTCTCCAGTTGTCCCTGTAATGCCCATTATAGCTGTTTCCTCCCCTCCTCAATGTATTTAGTTGTCAGGTATTTTTAGTCTCCTTAGCCCAGAATAATTTCTCTCCTTTTCTTGTTTGTTTTGGTCTTACATGACATTAAAACTTCTGAAATACTCATGTCAGTTATTTTGTGGAAGGTAGAATATTCTACAACTTAGGATTTGTCTGAAATTTTCCTCATGATTCGACACCAGAGAAATATTTTTTGATGAGGGTGCTAAATTATTAAGCCTTTTCTTAGTGTGACACAGCAAAAAGTTCATGATATTAGTTTGTCCTATTATTGGTTGATTCCTTGTTTAAAGTGGTATCTGCCAGATTTCTATGCTACAAATGCTCATGTTTTCCCCTTTGTAAATAATAGCTAATCAATGGGGTAATACTTTGATTCTTACTGGAATATATTATTACATTAGTGGTNAGAGGTGATTGGGCTTCAGGTGGCGCCGGCAGGAACCGAGGACCCCGAAGAGAAGCCGGAAGTTTGCCATCTTACTGGTGGGGGCCCTTCACCTCCTATTGCATCTCAACTCTCATCTATAAATTTATCCGAAGTAGAAAAGAACATTGTGAAAACCTGCAATGTTAATTTAGTTAATAGCCAAGATAATGAGCTCAGAAATCTGCTCTCCCATGGTTCCTTGTGAACTGTTGCTGCAGGAACCAACAATTTACTAGAGATGCTTTGGACACCAAGGGGTTTAGGTGAGAGGTGGAGTTATGTAACTAGAATCAATTCTTACCATTGCAGAAGGAAGAGCATTCCTGACCAGTGGTGGGTAGCAACAGCATTCTTTTATGTGAAGAGCAAAAAGAGAGACTATTTCTATTGAGAAATCTGTCATTGAGTTCTAGCTTGTGCTAGACTGACTTTTAGGTGATTGTGCCAATGTTACCGCATGAATTCTGTGGCCACACTTTTCTACTGGGATGCAGGAGAGAACACGCACCTCTGATTTTATGACGAATCTCTAGATTATTATGTTGTTATGTCCTATGCAGACTTGTTGAGCAAATGGAAGATTATTCCTTGTCTTTGGGTAATGAGTCAGTGGTGAGCCCTAATCTAGCAGTAAAGTCCGTTAATTTTTCTTCCAAAGACACTGTGGGATCTACTGATGTTCTCTTCACTGTGACGAAAGGTGAGCTGTGTTTCATGTGCTTTTAATAGTAGAGAGCATTCTGCTACTGACCATGAATAATGCTCTATTCATGAAAATCTAGACTTTTAAAATCCTACTTTTTCCTTCTCACAGGAAGTAGTGATTCTTTTGTTTCTAGTTCCATATCTGTGAACATAAACAATAAAGTGCTTGAACCAAATGAACAGACTGAACTTCAGATCTTGCTCAGCTCGGAAGGTAGGTCTCACACTGTTACCTTAAAAAAGGCACTCAAATCCATAGAATTAAAAACTTAAAATCTACTGAGTGAGAAAGTGAGAAGTAATGTTTACATAGCTTCACACTAAATAATTTTTAAGTACATTTGATGTCTGACAGATTATGGTAATCTCAACTCTACTGTTCTAGGTCATAGAGATGATTTCTCCTTTTTTTTTCTTTTCAAAATCCCTTTGGAGGGTAACAATTGAAATGCTCTGGCCATGGCAGACACAAATCTATTTTTTTTTACAAAAATTAGCTAACACAATTCGATTTCACAGTTAAAAATAAATTAAAAATATTCAGTTACAAACTCTGCCTGTATTTACTAGTGGTATGGCACTCACAGGCTTAGATTCATCCTGTAGATCTGCCCTTGGGCTATTTTATGTAACTGACACAGTTTATCTAGTAGCACCAATTTTCAGTTATCTCTACTAATGGCGACCACCATGGGCTCCCTATCATCTTGCATATGGCTCTTCAGAAATCTTTATGTCTTACTTGAGATGTTTGTACTTTTCAAAGTTTAAAAAAATTGGTGGATTAATTTGACAATAATAATAAGCAAACTAAACACACGTTTACTTTTCCTCTCATCAAATAAAAACATCCAATGTTAGAAAGTATGTATTTAGAATTCAAAATAGCACTGAAAAAGAAGAAAGGTTATTATTTGTGGTTCTGGCATGCTGTTATGTGGAGTGTTGCTTCCATTTGCTTTGGCCATATGCTTTGTGAAGATAGAGACTAAATCTGAGTCTTTTATGCTCTTATCTATGCTTTTCTTTAAATTTAAAAATATTTAATGCATACAGAAAAGTACAGAAAATAATACAAGCAGCACCTAGGTACCACCAGTAGGGTAAATAGATGTCGATTTTGCTATATTTGCTTCAAACCTCTTAAAAAAGGGAGATATTACAGCTGCACCTGAAAGTTCTGCCTTATCTTTTCACATCCCATCGTCCCCAATATTTTATCTTTCTGAAGTTAGTTTATATTATTTTCATGGTTGTGTTTAAATTTTTGTTGCATTTTTATATATCCATACATAAAATATCCTATTTTTCAAGTATTTTGAGGATTTATGTAAATGGTATCATGTTGCATGGAACTTACTTATTTTAACTTAACCTACTTTTTTGGAGATTCATCCATGTGTTATCAAGCTTTTTTAAGCTTTCTCTTTTCTGATTAATATGATGTAGGCATTTTTATTTTCGTTTTGCTGCTTAAAGCTCAATGGTATGTTAGATTTTTCTCTTTGTTTACTTGAGCATCTTTCCACATGTTTATTAGATATTCTGATTTCCTACTCAGTGACTTGTTTGTTCAAACACTATGGTCATTTTTCTGTTGGATTGCTTGTCTTTTTCTTATTGGTCATTAGAAATTCTTTACACATTCTGGATACTAATTCTTCATTGGTACATAAGTTGCAAACATCTTTCCTCCACCCTGTAGCTCTCTTTTGCTTGGTTTTGATATCTTTTGCAATACCAAAGTTTCAATTTATAATGCAATCCAATATATCAGTCTTTTCCTCTATAATTGGTACTCTTTAAAAGAAGTCCTTCCCTATGCTAAAGTCACAATGATAGAATCCTATATTTTCTACTGTGTGTGTTTAGTGTTTGTATGTACGTTAAGGTCTTCAGTAAACCTAGAATTTATGCTTGTGTTTGTTGTAAGATAAAATCTAATTTTTTTGTTTCATATAAACTATTGATATATTCAAATGAGCTAAAAAACACTTAAGAGACAGAGGCTAGATTAGATTGTAAGGAACATATTTTTATATTGATTTAATTCAATCTCCAAGATTATTTATGTTTTAATTCTTTGTTCCCTTCCTGAAGCATCGCCAAAATGTATAAACAAAAATTATTGGAAATATAGGGACACATTGACCAAATCACTATCATAGGAACATATTTTAGTACAGCTGTCCCAGAAATTGCAGATCAACTAGACAAAAAAATGACTACTAAGCTTGACCTTTATATACATTTGAGTATGTTTGTTATTTTATTTATAGAAAACAGATGATAAAAATTCTTTTCAAATATTCATGGAATGCTTCAAAAACTGACATTAGACCACCTAGAAAAACTGACACATTTTGTAAAATAAAAGTTACAGGGAACGTAGTTTCTTACCACAATGCAATAAAACTAGAAATGTATCACAAAAGACTATCCAAAATTTTACCCAATTAGAAATTTTAAAACATCATTGTTAGAAAAGAAATCAAAGTGCACATTAAAAATTACTTGAATACTGATGGAAATGAAAATAATACATATCAAAACCTATGGGATATGGACAAAGAGGTATTTAAAGGAAAATATGTATCCTTTACAAAATTTATTAGAAAATAAATGAATTGTTCAAAAATGAACTAAACATTCAGCTAAAGAAGCATAAAAAATAAAATTACTACAAAGAAAGCTAGAATGAAGGAATTAAAAATATAAGGGTATAAATTAATAAATGTAGAAGTTAATAAATGTTAGACTTGATTAACAAAATGAAAAATTGGTTCCATGAAAAGATTAATGAAGTAGGCAAGCTTCTGACATATCTGATCAAGAAAAGAGAAAGAGGAAGGAAGGAAGGAAGGGAGGAAGGGAGGGAGGGAGGAAGGGAGAGAGAGAGGGAGGGAAGGAGGGAAAAGACAAATGAACCAAAGGAGGTACATCCAGAAATATGGAGATTTTTAACAACTATAAAATAATGAATCTGAATATCTAGATGAGAATGATGATTTCTAGTAAATGACCAAAATACTGTAGGAATGGGGAGAGGAATGACCAGGGACTTTCATTTTTTTTTACTTTTATGCTTCTATGAATTTGAATTTTACATCAAGCTTATCATTCTTTTATTTTAAAAAGAGCATAATAAAAGGAAGTCATTACATTTATAGAGTTAACTTTGTCATCTAGTGTTCTGGATGAAAAATTTACTGAGGTCAATGTGCTGTGAAAACCCCCAGAAACCAATGTTTTTATTTCCAGGTAGAGGATGGAGCACCATGGCTGGCTGTGCAGGGCTTTTTAGGAGCTGCCAGGGCCTGCCTCCTCCTCAAATCACATGACCGGAATAGGCTGGTCTCTCTGCCACTGTTTTAGTTTTCTGTGTATCACTTGTAAAAGACAGCAGAGTTTGGGGAATTAATTCAGTTAAAATGAATACTTACTGTTTTTTCTCCCCTTGTTTTAAATATGGTCAACAGTTGTGTAAAGTGTTAGGAGGCATTCCTGAAGTGGGTGCTTGACCACTGCTGCTGTGGCCTTGCCCGTCTAAGATTTCTGAGGAACAGCTGACCACTTTTTCCAGTATCCCAAAGAAACATGTCACAATTGTTTTCCAGCCTTGGGCAAAGCCCATGATTGTCAGGAAATAGATAGTTCAAGATGATGGACAGTGTATGGCTCCAATCACTGATATGTACAACTTGAGCCCATGGCTCTGTGATAATAGACTGGTCCCTGCTCAGTCTGTTTGAACCAGGAGACAGATCTCATGGAGCACTTTTCTAGGCACAGCTGTCTTGATATTCACTCTTCGCTATTTCTTGTCTGGTTTCTTATCAGTGGGGAAAGCAACATGGGCTTTGGGTTACCGGCATGTCACATTCACTCTGTCTCACTGTATAATTAGCAAGATGTTTATTTTATACATAAGATACTCAAAATAACTTCTTGAATGGACTAGGCAGAAATTTTTGTTCCTCTTTAGAAAGTAAGGAATCTGAACCTCAGGAAAAAAAATTAGTGGAGGTAGAAGGGCCAAAGCAGGTTATATATATTATTTACATACTGCAATTAATTAAAGGTTCTGTCACCAAACCATTTTTACTGTACTTTTCTTAAATATAAAGCAGCCATGCAGTTAAAAAATGACATAGAACTTTGTTTTTTGTTTACCCTAGGGGTCATTTATTGATTTTAATATCTTTTTTTTTGTTTTACCTCATAGGTAACAGTCAGGCATGTGGTTTTGTAGTGTATCAAAACAACAAGCTTTTCCAATCAAAAACCTTTAAAGCTAAATCAAATTTTACTCAAAAAATTATCTCAAGCAGCACTAAGAAAATTGAGAGAGCTCCAAGTACTGTTAAAATGGTCTTTAGTCCAAAGGTGAGTTTTTCCATTGACAGAAACAAAGTATTTTGCCCACTCTTGATCACAAAGGCAGGGATAGTTGGGGCAAAAGAAACCCACAGAAAACTCTTTGAAAGATGCTTTGAAAATTTTTATTTAAACCTTACCCCCATCTATCTATTTTTGTCAAAGTAGCAAACTGTAAAATCAACTAATTTGAATTTTTTAATCCCTTTTTTCCCTCTCTAATCTATAATGAAGAAGATACTATGCTTAGTACATATCTAATTGATTTCTCATATGCTTATCTTATTTAATCTTTTCTGCTTGATTAAGCATTTAAAAAAATCAGTTGCAATTGTCTTATCAATTCACAGTATAACCAACAAGAATTCCAACTCCATTCCTATGCCTGTGTCTATTGGAATTTTTACAAGAAGGATTGGGACACATACGGCTGTCAAAAAGTCAGTAGCACTGATAAATTCCTGAACTGCTCCTGCAACCATACTACTAATTTTGCTGTATTAATGGTAAGGACATAAATAGTGATCTCTTTCCAGAGAAGATTTTCCCTTATACACAATTCTGCTCTGTGCTGGTTGGAGACAACTTTAGTGTCCAGTTTACACAGCTACTCTATTCAGATGAAATGGAAAGACAGGGAACAGAGTGACAGGATTAAAAGAGAAGTGCTGGGATAGGCAAGTAGAATAGTTTTTTGCTGTATGATTTCAGGATAGATGAGTTCGACATTGTGTATCTAATAATGAGAAGGGATCACATGTGCAAAAGAGGAGCTGACAGATTTTATCCCATTTAACTCATTCTCGTGTTCTGAAGCCTGGAGTTTTATAGCCAGAGTTAAGGCTGTGTGCTGGAAACAGATTCAATACATACTTAGGTATGGTCAGTTTAAATAAGTTACCCAAAGCTTTTTCCATTGGAATAATCCAAGTTACTAAACTTATTCTAGAAGATATAAGAGGAAAAGCTCTTGAATTCATTCAATTTGTACCATAGTTCCCCTATGTATTTCTCTAAGTCTTAACTCCAAAGCTACCCTGTACAAGTAACTGATAACACTTAGCTATAAGTACACCTCTGAAAGTCCTTGGGCTGACCCTTTTAAGAAGAGGGGCTTCTGTTTGTTTCATTTCAGAAACTTATTATCCTGGTGAAACCAAAAATGTTTGTTTAAATACTTGAAGGAATGTTTTTATATGCAATGCCCTGAGGAGGGATAAAATGTCTCACTCTTGTTAAGGGACTATTGACCCTATGACTCTCCCAAAGAGAAAAAGATGTGTTCATTCCCCAGTAGTTTTGATGTAACCATATTTGGGAGGCCAGTGGAGATCAGAACATACTGGTACAACAAAGAATACCAAGTTACAGAATATGCTTTATAAGATTTTTTGAGATAACTAGCTTTCTTATTTTACTGATCAACCCTTTCTTATTTTGATTATTTTCTAACATATTACAGAGAGATCTGCTTTCTCAATAAGAAAATATAAAGATAAAGTTTTAAGTTTTTTGATATCTTTAGATCATTAATACCTTTCAGTAGCTGTGTAAAACTCAGACTGCTGTACATATTAAATGACACAGACTGCATTGTTGTAGTTTTTTCTCCTTTTTTGAGGTCAGGCATTCTTCTCACTAGTATCTGAGTCTGCCTAAATGCCTACGTACTTACACTTGTAATTAGTTTTGGGTTGTGAAGTTTTAAGAAAAATTAGATTAGAATTGTACAGACAAAGTAAGAACATACAGGTGCTAAATGAATAGATGATTACAAAGATCTGAAGATCTATGTAGTCTGTGATTCTTTGTTCTCTACTCAATATAGTGCAAACAGGAAGTAACATGAAATTCTTGTTTTATTACTTTTAAAAACATTTATTTTCTTTCTACAAAAAGTAACACATATTCACTGAATAAAGTATGAAAGCTTACCTACTGAGCAGAAGTACACTGATATGGAAAGATGTTCATGGTTACTTAAAATAGCAATTTGAGAAGTCTTATTATGCTAACAAACTCCTATATATTTGTGAAGGAGACAGAAAATATTTGAAAGCACATAGAAAATGGTCACCTCTGGAAAAGAGAGATTTTAAGAAGTAAGGTATGATATGGGGTGGCAGGCAGTAAAGAGAAAACTATGCTTTTTTAATTATGTTTTTATATTACTTTCATATTTTATAGATAAGCATATTTTGCTTTTCTAATTTTAACAATTAAAAAAATTAAAAGTGCAGACAAGCAAAAAGAATTATATGTCTCCTACCCAAATGGTGACCACTATTATTACCTCTCCACATTTCTAAGAGTACATACTTACATGGAATATACTTTTCTATGAATATATAACAAATGGAATAGATGTAGATATAGCACACAAAAATGAGACCTCTTTTAAAAGAATTAACAGGATCATATGAAACTCTTTCCATGTCCATAGAAATATTTCTGCATCATTATATTTTTTAGTGCATTAGCTGAAATATGCAGATTTCCCCTTGGGTTATAGTTACACATAAAAATAAGGTAAGGAGTAAATGAAGCAACTCTAGCTAATTCAGACCTGATCCAAACAACTTTGATGCAAGACACTGAGGAAAAGTATATATATTTTCCCTATCTGATTAGTTATGTAACTGTTCTCAATCTTCTACTCCATGTAAACTGCTTAGAGATAGGGGTTATTTCCTTTTTTGAGTAAATCAACAGTTTTATAAAAAGAAGACATATCTGGCAACTATCTGGTTATTTTGACCAACATAACTTGGGATAACTCTCATAGACATTTTAGGAATAGTTATTTAAAAATATGAGTCTTAATTTATTTTGCAGAGTTTCAGAAAGACATATAAATATCCTGAATCACTAGACATAATGTCCAACGTTGGATGTGCACTGTCCATTACCGGTCTGGCTCTCACAATTGTATTTCAGATTGTCACCAGGTAAGAAGGGAAGCAGGCTCTTGTCAAGAGAGAAATTGCTACCCTGTTATTATTTCCTCTGAGCATATTCTCATTAGAATACAATCTCTTGGAACTAGAAAGGAAATAAAATTTAGTTTAACACGCTCATTTTATAGAAGAGGACACCCAGTCCTGGAGAGGTTGAGAAATACACACAAATAAATATGTAATTATAAATTGTGGTACGTACTTTGAAGGAAAATTACATACAAGTTTGTCATGTAAAACTAATATGGTCCTGTAGCTTATTAATGCCACAGTTCTTTTGTGTCGAAAAGAACCATACCTACCAATTTGCATTTATAAAAGAAAGAAACATTGCTAAATGGCAAGTTTTTGAAAATAAAATGAATTAAAAAATGTATTAAGTTTTCAAATGTTGAAATTTTTTAGATTTTTAATTCCATAGTTAAAAAAATATCTAACTGAAAGAAATTACCTGTAACAGTGACTGCACTGGAGAGGGTGAGGACTTGATAATATGAGTAACTGTTGAACCACAGTGTTGTGTATTTGAAACCATCATAAGATTGTATATCAATGATACTTTAATTTAAAAAATTACCTATAAACACATCTCTCTCCACCTAGACCTTCTTACTCAAGGTCCAATTTTGCATAGCACTTGTTATGTTTTTTCATATGCTTTATTTTTAATAATCTGTAAATATAAACTTGTTATTTATTAGTTTAATTGTATACTCTCTGTTTTCCCATCAGCATGAAAATTGATGAGGACAGTTACATAGCCCGATTTTGTTGTCGCTCTTATTTGTTTTGTTTTAATTTCATCACTGAATTCCCAGGGCTAAGCATAATACCTGGCCCACAGTAGAGGAATATCTGTAGAATTAATGGGTCTATTGAGCATTCCTACCTGGCTCTACTCTCAAACTCAAGATGTACTCATTTTTTGTTCAAAATTATTTCTGCCTTCCAAATTCCTTCACAACTGTTTTCTCAGATGTGTCGATTCCAATGTGTAATTTTATATTATATGTGTAAATTTTAAAGGTATTGCCATTTAAAATATTTTCCTGAAGTCTTATTAAAAAATTAAAAACCTACAGAAAAGTTGAAGGAGAACACTAAACACCCATATAACTTTCACTTAGTTCACTAATTATTAATATTTTGCTTTATCTCTTTTTTTTCCTGAAAATCTGAAAATAAGTTGTAGACATCATGACTGTTTTTTCTAATTTCTTCAAGATGCATCTCCTAAGAGCAAGAACATTCCCCTACATAGTATAATACCATTATCTTCACTCAGGACACTTAACTCAAGTAGTTTAACATAAATATAATATTATCATGTTAGTACACAATCCATATTCAGATTTCTCCAGTTGTCCCTGTAATGCCCATTATAGCTGTTTCCTCCCCTCCTCAATGTATTTAGTTGTCAGGTATTTTTAGTCTCCTTAGCCCAGAATAATTTCTCTCCTTTTCTTGTTTGTTTTGGTCTTACATGACATTAAAACTTCTGAAATACTCATGTCAGTTATTTTGTGGAAGGTAGAATATTCTACAACTTAGGATTTGTCTGAAATTTTCCTCATGATTCGACACCAGAGAAATATTTTTTGATGAGGGTGCTAAATTATTAAGCCTTTTCTCAGTGTGACACAGCAAAAAGTTCATGATATTAGTTTGTCCTATTATTGGTTGATTCCTTGTTTAAAGTGGTATCTGCCAGATTTCTATGCTACAAATGCTCATGTTTTCCCCTTTGTAAATAATAGCTAATCAATGGGGTAATACTTTGATTCTTACTGGAATATATTATTACATTAGTGGTTGAGAATCATGATTTTCTAATTCATCATTCTTTCTATGTACAGTCACTGTGCTCTTTGAAGAGAGGCGTACTCTTCAGAGCAAACAGAGGGAGTCCCTTCTGTTGTTGTGCCATGTCCTTGTCAGTCTTGACACACTAATTATTTTAGGCAGGGCAAGATGACCCAGGCACATCTTTCACCTTTTCTGTCCCATATTTAGAATCAGTCATTTGTCCAAAGAAACAGAATTATCTTTGATTCCTACTTTTGTCTTTCACACTTAATGAGTCTCTTACCATTCATTTAAAATTTTTATATTGAGTGCTTAGTATGGCCAACTATGTGAGGACTGAATACAAAACTATGAAAGGACAGGTAAGTTCCCATTTCATGGCATTTACATTCTCAGCGGGAAGACAGATACTATACAAATACATATGGAAATAAGTACATAATTACAAATTGTGGTAAGTGCCTTGAATGAGAATTACATGCCATATTATTAAAATTCTGTCACTGTAAAATGAATTGGTGCCTATATTTGTCCTATCTGCCATTACCACACTGTGTAACTCTTTTTTTTTTTTGCCTAAAATCTCACTCTTTCCAGTTATCGCTGAATTTTTTTTTTCATCCTCTATCAACATGTTTCTTAGCAGTTTTGCTGCTGTAAATGTCACCAAAAACCCATCAGGAAACAAAACCAAAATTGAATTGTTTCTAAATCCTGAATCCAAATAGTTTTCTTTTTTCAAGGGCAGGTTCCCATATAATATATATTATATATATGTATATACATACAAACATATATATGTATATGTATTATATATAGTATCCATATACTATACGTTTCTGTGCATATAATAATACTGTACAGATAGTAATATTCAGAATATCCAGGCTATATGAAAATAGCCTGTTCTCCCTGTGAATTATAGACAGAATTGCAATATGTCATTAGAGGGGATTTAAGGACACATCTGCCTTTAAACAGTAAGGGAAAGAATACATGCACAGTAGAGAGAATATCATACCTCATATTTGAGATCAATATCATTATGAGCAACCTTGTATTCTCTGCCAATCTGAAAATATACACATGGATCATCACAGAATATACACACATGTGAAATAAATGTGCATACATGTGTGTATGTGAAGTACACACATACTCTACAGTGCCCTCTGAAGACTACTGGTAAACAATGCCATATTCCAAACGAAATGAAAAAAGCTGTCCTTTTTTAGCAAACATCTTAAGTAAATATGAGAAGAAGAAGAAGAAAAAAAAGTTTTAAAGAGCACTTGTTTCTACACCCAGAAATTATATCTTCAAATGAAGCAGCAGTCCTTGGGCATGTTTTACAATAAAAGACCTATTTAGAATCTTGACCATTTGACTCTCAGCAACTATTTCTTAAAGTATGATCTTTGGAACCCTAGTCCTTGGGAGAGACTCTGTGGAAAAGTGTTCTGTAATGTTGTACAGAAAAGACACATGAAATTTTGTTTAGTATAAATCATTTACAGAAAGAGCAATCATCAGTCTGCTCAAATTATGAAGAATATCATTAGTAGCAATAAGCCTTGAAACAAACATTAAGTATTTTTACTTAATTTAAGGTTTATTTAACTTGGCATTTTTGCTTAGTTTAAAATTATAGTTGGATTTATTGTTTTAAAATTTATACATGATTTTAAAAAATAATTTACAAAACTGCAGACACTTTCCCTACATTTGAACATGGGTTCATCTACTAATGTGCAATAGTTTCCTATTACGATTTTTAATAAATCCATTTAGAACTTTCCTAGAGATAGCCTTTGTATGTGCTTGCAAATCTCGAGTACAGTGCATTGTCTCTTGGGGTATTGAAAACTGCCCTAAAACTTAGTGGCCTGAAACAACAGTTTGTTATTTCTGATGATTCTGTGGCTTGACTAGGCTTAGCTGGATGATTGGTTCTACTGGTCTTGCTGAGGGTCTCCTATGAGACTGCAGGCAATGGTGTCTGGGATTGGAGTCATTTGGGGGCTCACCCAGGATGCTGGGACAGCTAGACCTAATTCCCTCTCCAAATAGTCTCAGAGCATTTCCAGGATAGCTGGACTTTTTACATGGTGGCCCAGTACTTTAGCAGCACAAAAGAGGAAGCTTATTATGATCCTTATGGGCCCTTGGTATTTTTTTCTTTTTGGGACACTTCCTCTCCAATTTTTTCTTTGACCTAGAAATTCATTTGTTTCCCCCTTCTGGTTTAAAAAAAAGTCCAAACCTTGCTGTGGATCATAAAATGTATTATGAACCCTGAGCACTACTGTGTCTAATGGACAAGTTGGCCCTGGCCTCCAGGTCTTCCGTTGTATTCTATTAGTCAGAACAAGTCACAGGTCAGCCTTAGAAGGGGACTACATGGGATGTGAATACAGGAAGTAGAGTTCACTGAGGGCCAACTCTGGAGAACAACTATCATCTTTGATTAGAATATAGTTTCAAGAAAGGATCTCTCAACTTGTTTTCTCTAACTCAGTTTGTGGAAATGAGGTAAGAGGAGAGTATGCCTTTCTGGTGTAGTTGGGAAGGTAGATTTTTTAGCCGCCCCTCTGGGCTATAACCTGGATTTACATTGGGGTAATAATATTCTTTTGTTCCCTCACAATTTCACTAGAGTTTATTTTTTGCAGTTGTTTTGTTTATAAATTAATTAATTAATTTTCTTTCAGGAAAGGCAGAAAAACCTCAGTAACCTGGGTATTGGTCAGTCTGTGCATGTCAATGTTGATTTTTAATCTCTTCTTTGTGTTTGGAATTGAAAACTCCAATAAGAACTTAAAGACAAGTGATACCAGCATTAATGACAATAAGAATGAAGTGCCTGCACAAGACATTATAGTCTACTCCAATCCCACATGCACTGTGATTGCTGCCTTGATGCATTATTTTCTGTTAGCAACATTCACCTGGTCTGGACTCAACGCTGCACAGCTCTATTTCCTTCTAATTCGGACCATGAAACCACTTCCTCAACGTTTCACTCTGTTCATCTCTTTAATTGGATGGGGTAAGTGTTTGCTTCTCCACTTACTCAGGAGTTTGATTTTGTTGAAATAATTTAATTTAAACAAAAGCCTATTGAAAGCCTAATACTACAAGGCCAAGGCCTTGAGGCAGGGTACATGGAAAATCTAACAATCACGAAGACTGCCTTCTGCCTAGGGGCTCATACACGGGTGAAGGAGGCAAATGTGATTGAGGCAGCTGTGCTAGATGCATCATATGCTGACTTCAAGATGCTGCTTTCCTTTAGTATCTCTACTAATTTGATTTAGACCATGTATAATTAAATTCCTAGCATTTTAGAAGAAATATTTCAAGAAAATCAGAGTGACTCTTTAAGAAAAATAATTTGAAAAATTCACTGGTTTCCAGAAAAGGAGAATTAGTTTAGTGATATCTAAACTTAAATTTATTCAGGTAAAAGAGGAATTAGGTCATTTAAGAGTGGAAACTGTGGGAGGACCAGGCCAAGATGGTAGTATAGGAAGACCTTGGTTTCTCCTCCTCCTACAGATGAACCCATTTTACACCTATGTATAGAGTAATTCCTGCTGAAGAACTGAAGGCTGGTTGAATGAGAATGGCAGGAGAGATGGAGACCCAGTCACGATGGGAGCCCCACCCCCAATGCTAGGAACTGCAGTAGGGAGGGATGTCACTGAGGTATCCATATACAGATTCACGTGCTCTGGGGAACAGGAAAAAAATGCAGTTTTAAGGGCAACTACAATATAAGTGAAAGAAACCAATTTACTAACCCTAGAGCATCTGCCACATGGTTGGGGAACTCCTGGGACTCTTTCTTCTGGGGTTGGAGATGCTGGCATAACCAATGTTATATTCCCCCTGTGCCTTGATAATACATCTGGGAACAAGATCTGTGGGCTTCAGCTGGCTTGCTGCCTCAGTGAGCCCTGGGCCTCCAGCCCATACCAGCTCCAGCTGTCCCACCAAGGCAACAATAGTGCAGTGCGTGCTGAGACATCCCCAGCCTGTCCCCAGTATAGCTCAGGCTGTCTTGACAAGGTGTGCCAAACACAAATCACCCTGGGACACTCCTGGCCCACACCCTCTTCAGCACCAGCTGTCTTGCCAAGGCACCCCTGTGAAAAGTACCCTGAGACCCCCTAACCCATGCCTACTTTAGCTCCTGTCATACTGCCAGGGTTACCCCAGCCTGGAATGCTCTAGGACCACTGGGCCCACAACCACTACAGCTCCAGCCAGCCAGCCAAAGCCACCAGGCATATGCAGTCGAGACAGGGAATGTTCCTACGCAAGCCTACTCCTTCAATAAGTGGAGAGGTAGCTGTTTCACCTAATTCACAGAGGCACAAAAAATTAAACAAAGTGAGATGGAGGAATATGCTTCAAATGAGAAAGCAAGATGAAACTTCAGAAAAGGGACTAAACAAAACACAGGCAAACAATCTACCTGATTAACAGTTCAAAATATGGTCATATAGATTCTCACCAGTCTGGAGGAAAGAATGGATAAACTCAGTGAGAACTTCAACAAAGATATAGAAAAATATTTTTAAAAATCAATTAGATTTGAAGAATACAATAACTTAAGTGAAAAATGCACTAGAGGGAATCAACAGCAGATTACAGGATGCAGAAGGTAGTAGAAGGCACTCAAGCTGAACAGCAAAAAGGAAAGAGAATTCTAAAACATGGGGAAAGGTTAAGGGACTTCTAGGTCATTATCAAGCATAATAACATTTGTCTTATAGGGATCTTGGTAGGAGAAGAGAGGGAGAAAGGGGCAGAAAACTTATTTGAAGAAATAATAGCTGAAAACTTCCCTAAACTGTAGAAGGAAACCAACATCTAGGTCGAAGAAACACAGAGGGCCGCAAACAAGGTGAACCTGAAGAGGTCCACACCAAGACACATAATAACTAAAATGGCAAACGTTAAAGAGAAAAAGAGAATCTTAAAAGCACCAAAAAAAAGAAGTTACATACAAGAGAAATCTCATAAGGCTATTAGCTGATTTTTTAGCAGAAATTTTGCAGGCTAGAAGGGAGTAGCATCATATATTCAAAGTGCTGAAAGGAAAAAAAAAAAAACCCTACAACCAAGAATACTCTACCTGTCAAAGTTATCATTCAGAATTGAAGGAAAGATAAAGTTTCTCAGACAAACAAAAATTAAAGGAGTTCATCACCACTAAACTGGCCACACTAGAAATGTTAAAGGGACTTCTTTAAGAGGAAAAGACCATAACTGAAAGTAAGAAAATTATGAAAGGAAAACATTTTGCTGATAAAAGCAGACATATAGTAAAGGTAGTAGATCAATAACTTAAAAGCTAGTCTGAAGGTTATAAGACAAAAGAAGTAAAATCAATTATATCTAAAAATTAGGGAATCACAAATATGAAAGATAACATATGACATCATATACATAAAACATGGAGTGAGGGGGGTCAAAATGTAGTGCTTTTAGAATGTGTTCAATCTTACTGACCATCAACTCAATATAGACTGCTATACTTAGGATGTTATAGATGAATCTCAAGCTAGCCACAAACCAAAACCCATAATAGATACACAAAAAAGGAGAAATAATATCAAGCACAACACTTAGGAGAGTCATTACTCACAAGAGAAGAGAGCAAGAGAGGAAGAAAACTACAAAAACAATCATAAAACAATTAACAAAATGGCAATAAGTATATACCTATCAATAATTTCTGTAAATGCAAATGGCCTAAAAACTATAATCAAAATACAGGGGTGACTAAATGGATAAAAAAGCAAGACCCATTTTCATGCTGCCTAAAAGAGACTCACTTCATACATAAAGACACATTCAGACAGAAAGTGAAAGAATGGACAAAGATGCTCCATGTGAATGGAAGTGAAAGAAAAGCTGAGGTAGTAATACTTATATCAGAATAGACAAAATAAACTTTAAAAGAGACAAGGACATTACATAATGATAAAGGGATCAATCCAACAAAAGAATATAACAATTGTAAATATCTATGCACCCAATAGACACATCCAAATATATGGAAGAAATATCAATAGACATATAGGGAGAAATTAACAGTAATGAAATAATTGTAGGGAACTTTAACACCTCACTTACATCAATGGATAGATCATCCAGAACAGATGATTAATAAAGAAACAGGGACTTTAAGTGACACATTAGACAACATGGACTTAACAGATTTATACAGAACATCCCATCCAAAAAAAGAAGAATACTCATACTTTTCAAGTGCACATGGAACATTCTTCAGGATAGATCATATGTTAGACCAAAAAACAAGTCTCAATAAACTAAAGAAGATTGAAATCGTATCAAGCGCCTTTTCCAACTGTAGCAGTATGAAACTGCAAATCAATTATAAGAACTAGGAAAACACAAACACATGGGAGCTAAACAACATGATTCTAAAAAAGCCACTGGGTCAACAAAGAAATTGAAGAAGAAATAAAAATTACCTGGAGACATCTGAAATTATAAGCATAGTAGTTCAAAATTTTTGAGAGACAGCATGTCAGGCAAAAGAGGGAAGTTTATAGTGAAACAGAAACAAGAAAGAAGAAACTTCAAGAACAAGAAACAAGAAAAATCTCAAATAATCTACCTCAAGAAACAGGAAAATCTCAAATAAACAGTGTAATGGTGAACCTTCAGTAACCAGAAAAAGAAGAACAAAGCCCAAAGTTAGTAGAAGGAAGAAAATAATAAATCCAGAGTAGAAACAAATGAAATAGAGACAAAAAAGAATAGAAAGGATCAATGAAACTAAGAGCTGGTTCTTTGGAAAGAAAACAAAATCAATAAACTTTTAGCCAGACTAATCAAGGAAAAAAAAGAGGATCCAAATAAATAAAATCAGAAATGAAAGGAGGAATTACTCAACACTGTACAAATACAAAGGATTATGAGATCACTATGAAAAATTCTATGTCAACAAACTGGACAACTTAGAAGAAATGGAAAATTCCTAGAAACATATAATCTTCCAAGGCTGAACAAGGAAGAAGTACAAAATCTGAACAGACCTATTACTAGGAATGAAATTGAATCACTAATAAAGAAACTTGTGACAAATGTCCAAAGTCTTCACAGGTGAATTCTATGGAACATTTAAAGAAGAGTTTATATATATCTTTCTCAAACTACTCCAAAAATAGAAGAGGATGCAGTGCTTCTAAATCATTCCACAAGGCCAATATAAACTTGAAAAAAAAAAAAAAAAGAAATTACAAGCCAATATCCCTAATGAACATAGATGCCAAAATTGTCAATGTAATATTAACAAAATATAATTAAAAAATATAAAAAATGCATTCAGCACAACCAAGTGGGATTTATTCCAACATAATATTACAAAATATAATTTAAAAATACAAAAAATGCATTCAGCACAACCAAGTAGGATTTATTCCAAGGATGCAAGAGTGGTCAAACATCTGCAAATTAATCAATGTGATACACCACAAAAACAAAAGGAAGTATAAAACCATGTGATCATGTCAATAGATGCAGAAAAGCATTTTACAAAATTCAACATCAGTTCATCAAAAATAGTTAACAAAGTAAGTATAGAGGGAACATACCTGACATAATAAAGGCCATATATCTCAAACCCACAGGTAGCATCACATTCAGTGGGGAAAAGTTGGAAGCTTTGCCCTCTAAGATCAGAAGCAAGATATGGAATGCCCACTCTTACCACTTTTATTCAACATAATACTGGAAGTCTAAATATACAACAATCAGACAAGAAAAAGAAATAAATAGTATCCAAATTGATAAGAAAGTAATAAAACTGTTGCTATTTATAAAGGACATATTTTGACATATTGTATATATAAAACCATAAAGACTCCACCAAAAAGTTGTTAGGACTAATAAATAAATTCAATGAAGTCTCAGGTTACAAAATCAATTTACAGAAATCTATTGCATTTCTATATATTAATAATGAACTAGAACAATTAAGAAAACCATACCATTTACAATTGCATCAAATAGAATAAAGTACCTAGGAACAAATTTAACCAAGGATGTGGAAGACCTGTACTCTGAAAAACTACAAGGCATTGATGAAAGAAATTAAAGTTGATATAAATGAATGGAAAGACATTCTATATTCATGGATTGCAGGAGTTAATATTGTTTAAATAGCTGTACTACTCAAACTAATCTACAGATTCAGTTCAATCCCTATCAAAATACCAATGACATTTTTCACAGAACTAGAGCAAATAATCCTAAAATTTGTATGAAATCACAAAAGACTCTGGACAGACAAAGAAATCTTAAGAAGAACAAAGTTGGAGAGCACATGCTCCGTGACTTTAAACAATATTACAAAGCTATAAAAATCAAAATAGCATGGAATTGGCACAAAAGTAGACACAGCAACATATGGAATAGAATAAAGAGTGCAGAAATAAACCCACACTTACATAGTCAATTAATATATGACAAAGGAGGCAAGAATACACAATAAAGAAAGACAGTCTCATTAATAAGTTGATATTTGGAAAACTGGACTACTACATGCAAAAGAATGAAACTGGACCTCTTTCTTATACCATGCACAAAAATCAACTCAAAATGTATTAAAGATCTAAATGTTAGACCTGAAACTATACAATTCATAAAATAAAACATGGGCAGTAAACTAAACTACTGACATCAGCCTTATGAAACCTTCTCTGTATATGTCTCCCCAGGCAAGGTAAACAAAAGCAAAAATAAACAAGTAGGACTACATCAAACTAGCAACTATACAGCCCAAGAAATCATCAACAAAAGAAAGGGAAACCTCTTGCATGGGAAAAGGTATTTCTAAATGCTATCCAACAAAGATAGTTTGGTAATATCCAAAATATACAAAGAAGTCAACATCAGAAAAACAAATAACCTAATTTAAAAAATGGGCAGAGGACCTGAATAGACATTTTTCTAAATGACATACAGGTGTCCAACAGACACATGAAAAAATGCTTGACACCTCTAATCACCAGGAAAATGCAAATCAAAACCACAGTGTGTTTTCACCTCACACCAGTCAGAATGGCTAGAATCAAAATGTCAAGAAATAAAAGACATTGGCCAGGATGTGGAGAAAAGGGAACTCTTGTGCACTCCTGGTGAAACTGCAAATTGGTGCAGCCACTATGGAAAGCAGTATGGAGACTTCACAAAAAATTAAAAATATCATGCAGCTCAGGAATTCACTTTCTGGGTTGAGCTTGATTGTCCACCTAAAGAAAACAAAAACAGCAATTCAAGAAGATGTATGCATCCCTATGTCTATTTCTGCATACTTATAATAGCCAAGATGTGGAAACAACTCCATTCATAGACGAATATATAAAGATGTGGTACCAAAAATAAGACAGAAAAATGACAACAAAAATTCAAAAGAAGTGGTACATGTAGACAATGGAATATTACTCATCCATAATAAAGAGTGAAATTTTGCCATTTACAACATGGGTGGAGCTGGAGGGTATTATGCTGAATGAAATAAGTGAGACAGGAAAGGAGAAACATCATGATTTCACTTATATGTGGAATCTAAAAAACAAAACAAATGAACACCAAACAAAAAACAAAATATGCTCATAAATACAGAGAACAAACTAGTGGGTGCCAAAGGGGAGGGAAAGTGAGGGGAAAGGTGAAATAGATTAAGGCAATAAAGAGATACAAACTTCCAATTATGAAACTAATAAGTCACAGGGATGAAAATTACAACATAGAGAATATAGCCAATAATATTGTAATAACTTCATATGATGACGGACGGTAATTACACTTACTGTGGAGAACACTTTGTAATGTTTATAATTGTAAGATCATCTGTAACTAATATAATATTGTATGTCAACTATACATCAATTTAAAAAAGGGAAATTGTGCTAACAGTTACAAAGGAATCAGGAAAGTATAGGGTTGGTATATAAATTCAACACTTACAGAAAAAGGAAAACAGAAAATTATGTTGACTGTTGACCTACATTTATAGGATCATTTAATGCATTGTCTATAGTGTAAGAACAATACATCCCGAAAAGGGTCATATCTATAATTCATTCATGTCCTTTTGTAGTTAATCCCAGTCTTGGTAAATTATTAATTCTATGTCCCTTCTTATTACATAGGAGTCCCTGCGGTAGTGGTAGCTTTGACAGTGGGAATTATTTATTCTCTGAATGGGAATGATCTACAATGGGAGTTTGAGTATCGGCAAGAGGAAATGTGAGTTTATATATTTTAAAATGTTTATTTCTTTGATAAAAGAGTATAACTGTCCAGCGATGTTGAACTCAGTCATTGCTGTACATAAGAATCTCACTTTCTAGTTGCAATATTATAAGTGGGTATGCTCAAAGAAAATACATTTTAAATATGATGACATGAAAATTTCCTATGATAAATCCTTTTGTAAAGGAAGTGATTACCTTCTAAATTTATAAATCTGAATATTCTTATATTAAATTTGTTTTCTTATCTTGAACCTGAAAATCACACGACACAATATAGGTGTGATTCTTAGTAATATCTTAGTTTTCTCGCCTAGGAAATGGGAGTAATAGTAATAGTAATACCTGCTCTGGGGTTACTGTGAGGGGTCAAGCAAGTGTGAAACCATTTCATGTAACTGAAAGAGCACTATCCATGCTTATGAACAAATTTTTATGTTGATATGATCACAATGAATCTTTCATGATGACTTATCACACATAATAAAATTTCTCTGTAACTCAGGAGTAAATAACCAACTGTTAATAATGGAAATACCTGACTGTTTGAAATTAGCTTTTTATGTGAGATGGGAGAGAAGAAATCTCAGATGAACTCTTTATGTATTTCTTCTACTAAATGGCAGCTGCTCCTTAATTTATCCTCCCTTCTCATTTTATATTCCAACTATTCTTATCCTAAAATTCCACCTTAAGTCCCAAACTAACTCAAATCAAAATAAAATCCTTGGAAATGTGCAAGTACACTCAAGGGAAGACTATGGTGTTTGGGTGCGTACCTTTTTCCAATGCTGACCATGTCCAACTGTAGAAATAGACTACCTGCCTGGCTTGATTTTAAGAGCCAAATACTCTAGTCATTATTATCTCTGTTTGAGTAGGGTTAAGTACCTTTTAATGAGTTCTAAAAATTTAATTCCACCAAAAGATATCAGAGGTAAAGTGCAAATATCTTGTGGCAGAGGCAACCCTGAGTTATCTTTCCAGCAGTTGCATCTCAGTATTCCATGCTCTCCACTCTGCTCCCAGTTCTGCCAATCCTACCTGAAACCCCTACCCCAGTTCCCCTGATGTATGGCTATCTCTGTGAGGACCAGTTAAGGGGTGACTGTAGCACTGGCCACATTTTTCTTAAATGCTCTCTCCCTTGATTCTCTGTACCACCACCATATGTGCTGTCTAAAACTTTCCTGAAGGGTTGAGGTGATGCCGGGGTTCTTGTTCACAGAGCCAAAGAATGAACTTCACAAACACTCAAGGTAGGAGGGCAAAGGAGAGGCTTTTATTTAGAGATAAAGGGAGAAGACAGAACTCCTGGCTCCCACCAGGAGGGACAAGAGAGCCCCTGGCTGGCTTGTTGTCTAGGGGTTTTATGCATGGCTGAGGATTTTCAGGAATGGAAGTAAAGGGCTAGGGGTGCAGACTCGAGTGGTCCCAGAATGCTCATTTTTGATGAGTAACAGAAGAAATTTGCTGCTCTGATTCTTTCTCAGGATAGCAGTTTCCCCTTGGGAGCATGTCAATTAAGACCTCCTGCCCTGCTCCCAAGATGAGCTGAGTTGTTGCCTGTTTGCTAAAGTGTGTTAAGAATCTTACTTCTTAACTTCTTGGGCTGTTTATAGTTGGGCTTGCTTACTAAATTAATCTTCCTAGGTTGCAGATTACTTGATTAGGATTAGAGAAGGAAACAGCACATTGGTACAATTAAAAATAAACTGGGCCTTTTAGCAGGCTAAGGTAAATTTTATGGTGTCATGATCTAATTGATACAGTGAAGTCATGAATTATGCTGAGACATTTCTCTTATCTGCAGAACACTCAAACATTCCAGGCCAAGTTGCTCCTGGCCTTTTGAGCTTTCACTGATCTCACTGAAGTTGTCTATATTCCTAGTCTGGTATCTTTACCCTAGAGAATTAGTGTGACTGACTTTGTGTAATACTTAACACAGAGTTTCGACTTCTTTGCACATTGTTACATTGTTCTGACTGTAATTATCTTGCTCTGCTTTTTCTCCGGAGGCCCTCATCCTACTCTGCCTAAACCCACAGTCCCTGCCTCAGAAGGAATCATGGGAAATTACAGCACATGAGAGAGAAACTTTTTCAAGTGTAGGCCTATATACTAAAACTGTTTTCATGTCATGCTTCATGGCAACATCACCAAGGAGTTAAACATACATCTGAGGCCCACCTATGATGCCCTCAGCCCTCAGGTTTACAGCTGTTTGTCAGATCAACCTTAACTGTGTGACTCTGCGAACTCAATTCTAGAAATCCCACTCCACAGACAAGGGTTAGTCTCACTGTAAGATCCAACACCCTCCTCAGCACTCTATTTCTCAAAATCCAAGTCATTAAATTCAGAATAAGCTTTGTCATGAAAATAAACCCAGCATGACTCTCTCTCTGGACAAAGGATAGAGGGAGAGAGGCAGTGTGAAATAACTGAGGAATCTTGAAGGTCTACAGTACAAATAGTAATTTTCAGAAACTGTATTGTCTAAAGTTTAAACAATGCATACAGATAAAGATAAATATTTGTCTAACTGTTTCATAATTTGCAAGCCTGCCTTTATTCAATAGAGTTGGATTGTTCAGTTTCTTTTGCTATCCTTTCCTCCCCTTTGAAACTCTAGGCTGCCTGGACAAGAAACATGCTCATCTTCTTCATTTAAAACTTTTGATGGCTACTTGCTTAGTAAACAAAGAAGGTTCTAGAGATTTGAAAGTACTTCTCAGCAGGATTTCATTAAATTCTTAGCCAAGTGCTTGCCTATTTCTTCTGTGTAGGGGATTGAGAGATGGAGGATGGCAGGAGGCTTGCTTTCCATGTCCAGATGAAAGGAAATGGAAGCCACAAGTCTTAAGGACAATCTTGCTCACTCTCACTATTTTAATCTAAGGATGGACCTATACTGTTGATGGATTAGAGACACTCCTTTTCATTTTTTAATTCATTGTAGATACTTGAACATCATTCCCAATTTCTTTCTATGTCATTCAGATTAGTAATATGATTTCTAATAGTTAAAATTTTAACAACATTCTGAAGCAAAACAATTTAGAAATCCTTTGGCATGTATTATAATGGTGTTTTACTTGTAGGGAAAAGAAACCATATGTTAACTGAATGCAAAATATGTGCCGGGGCTTCTCATGTTGTTTTGTTAATACCCAAAAGCTTACCGGACCTCCACCTGGCTGAAAGGACATCTCCTGGTGTTGCCTCCCACTCCTGCTTTCCCATCATCTTCCCCACCTCAGTTAATGGTAATTCCATCCCTCCAGGTATTCAAGCTAAAGACTTTAGGGTCATCCTTGATTCTTTTACATCTCACATCCAATTTATCAGTAAATCCTTTTGCTTTACTTTTAATTTTATCTGGAATCAGACTACAGTTTACCCTTGAACAATGAGAGTTTGAACTGCACAGATCCACTTGAATGTGGACTTTTCCAATAAATACACTGGAAAATTTAGAGATGTGCTGCACTTGGAAAAAACACTTTGTTTTCTCTATCTTACTTTATTATAGGAATACAGTATATACTACATGTAATGTACAAAATGTGTGTTAATCAACTGTTTATGTTATCTGTAAGGTTTCTGGTCAATAGTAAGCTATGAATAGTTAAGTTTGGGGAGTCAAAAGTTACACATGGAGTTTTGACTCCATGGGGATCAGTGTTCCTAACTTCTATGTTGTTCAAGGGTCAGATGTGTTTCTTATCATCTCCTCTCCTGGCCCAAACCACCACATTATTGCAATAGTTTTCCTGTTTTTCATGTGCTCTACTCTTATCACTGTGCAATAAAAGTAATACTTTTAAACTCAAGACAGATAATGTGAAGTTTCTCTTGCTCACTGAGAATACATGTAAAGACCTATAGAACTGTGACATAATTTGCATATTTTCATTATTCCCACCCACTTACTCTCTGTTCAAGCCACATGAGACTCTTGGCTGTTTTTAAAGCCCTCAATTCAGGGCGTTGCACTTTGCTGTTTCCTTGGTCTGGCACAGCCTGCTCCCTCATCTACTTCAGATCTTTGCTCAAATATCACTTTTTTCCACAAGACTTGTCCTGACCACTTCATTTAAAATGAAACACTCTTCCACCCCATACACGCGTGTGCACGCGCACACACACACACACACACACACACATACACAGTAATACCAACCCGCAAAACCTGCTTTATTTTTCTCCATAGCACTTGTCACCATCTGACAGAGTGTGTATTTTATTTGTTAGTTTGATCTATTTCTCTGCATTAGAATAAATTCGCTAAAGAAGGGATTTTTGTTTCTCATTCACTGCTAATATCTTGGTATCTACAACAGTGTCTAGCATATAGTATGTACTTTGTAAATATTTATTAAATGAATGAATTGCTACAACAATGCCAAGAGATGATTACTATACCCCACAGATGAGAAAAAACACTGAAACTACCACCAATGCTAATAACAAAAACAAAAAACACAAAAATCACACACACACACACACTTAAAAAAAAAGATACAATGAGGTTAAATAACTATTCAGGTATTTTTTAAACATTAAAAAAATTTAAGTTCCCATTAATAAGGGGCTGTTTAAATAATTTATGGTCTAAAAATGATAGAATACTATGCAGCTGTAAAAAGTAATGGACACAATTTTTATATTCCGATAAGGAATGATTTCTGACATATGTTGTTAATTAAGATATACAAGTACTGTATGTTATCATTTGTTTGAAAATCAGTAATAAATATGCATTTGCTAGTGTGATATAGCCTAAATCTGAAATAAACAAAAACTATTGATAATCACTGGAGATAGAAACTAGGTGACCAGGGATAGTTGCTGGAGGGGCTATTGTCTCTGTATGAGGATTTGTACTTTTAAAATTTTGAGATAGCTAGGTGTTTTTTATATTCAAAAATAAAATAAAACAGTAACTTTCCTAAGTCAAACACCAAATATGTGACAGAAACTGACATTTAAATTCACCACTGCCTGACTCAAAAGCCATATTCTTCCCACTAGCCCCTACTGTCTTATAAAGATAAGACAGAACAATGCATTTCATTTTTCTAGTGGAATGAAGTCTTGAAAGTTATCTCAAATATATAGAATGCAAAGGGATATTGACTTTTAGCAGGCTTTTCATTTAAATGAACATCAATAATGTTAACAGCATAAAGAACCATTACCTATAGCTTTCTTAGTTTGCTGAAATTGTTTTTTTTTTCTCTTCATAGATGCTGGCTGGCAATTTCAACAAGCAATGGCTTTATAACAGTTCCATTCTTGTGGTCATTCCTTGTACCTGTGACCATTATTCTCATCAGCAATGTTGTTATATTTATTATCATCACGGTCAAAGTCCTGTGGAAGAATAACCAGAACCTGACAAGGTAAGATTCCCAACAAATGAGAAGCTACCAGGCTTGACTAACCTAGTACCTAACACAGCATCCACGGTTCCTAGAAGGGTTTTCAGACTCAGGGACAATAGCAAGGATATGTAGTTTGCAGGACACATTTTCTCTTAAGCTTTGTCTCAAGCTTTCTTCTCATCTTCCGACATCAGCACTACAATGTGGATCTACTGCATTACATGACACAATTTTGTGCTATATGAGCCCAACTAAAAACTAATCTCAAAGACCTCAAGAAAACATGTTCTCTCCCAATCCCAACTATTCAAGAAAACAGATTTGAATAATGAAAGAAATGAGAGAGTTGGGGGAGATGCTGGTAACTGTATTTTCATTTTATAAATTAGTAGCCATAGGCTACATATATATATATATTATTAAAGTATCAATATACAATTTTATATTGGTTTCAAATATACACAAATAAACACAGTGGTTCAACAGTTACCCATATTATTAAATCTGCACTCTCCTTAGTGTGGTTACTATCTGTCAATATAAAAAGATGTTACAGAATCATTGGCTGTATTCTCCATGCTGTACTACTATTCCTGTGACTGACTTATATTATGATTGAGAATTTTGTACCCCTTTATCCCCCTCACATTCCCCATCCACTCCAGCCCCTCCTCTGTGGTAATCTCTTGTCACTTCTCAGTGTCTATAAGTCAGTCTACTGATATATTGTTCATTCTGTTTTGCTTAGTTTTTATATTCCACAAATAAGTGAATATATACCACAAATACGGTATTTGTCTTTCTCCACCTGGATTATTTCACTGAGTATAATACCTGCTAGATCCAGCCATGTTGTTTAAAATGGTAGGATTACTCTCTTTTATGGCTGAGTAATATTCCATTGTATATATGTACCACCTCTTCTTTATCCATTCATGTATTAATAGACACTTAGGTTGCTTCCATATCTTGGCTATTGTAAATAATGCAGCAATAAACATAGGGGTGCATATATCTTTTTGAATCAGGGTTTTTGTTTTCTTTGAGTAAATGCCCAGAAGTGAGATTACTGGGTTCTATTTTCAGTTTTAGGAGGAACCACCATACTACCCTCCAAAGTGGCTGTACCAATTTACATTCCCACCAACAGTGTAGGAGGTCTCCCTTTTCTCGATATCCTCACCAACACTTGTTCTTTCTTGGATAATGGCCATTCTAAATGGTATGAGGTGATACATCATTGTGGTTTTGATTTGCATTTCCCTGTTGATTACTGATTTGGAGCATCTTTTCATGTGCTTGATGGCCATCTTCTTCTTTGGAGAAATGTTTGTTCAGGCCCTCCACCCAATTTTTTAAATTGGGTGATTTGGGTTTTGTTTTGGTGTTGAGGCAAGTGAGTTCTTTATATATTTTGGATGTTAACCACTTATCAGATAAATTATTTATGAATATATTCTCCCATATTGTAGGTTGCCTTTTTGTTCTGATGATGGTTTCATTTGCTATACAAAAGCTTTTTAATCTGATGTAGTCCCATTTGTTAATTTTTTAGTTTTGTTCCCTTTGCCCAGGGAGAATGTGTCCAGGAAATAATTGCTCATACTTAAGTTCAAAAGATCTTTCCTCCAAGAGTTTTATGGTTATTTGCTGTACATTCAGGTTTTTGATCCATTTTGAATTTACTTTTGAGTATAGAGTGAGACAATAATCCAGTTTCATTCTCTTGCATGTAGCTGTCTAGTTTTGTCAACACCATTTGTTGAAGAGGCTGTTATTTCCTCATTGCATATCCATGGCTCCTTTATTGTGTATTAATTGACCATATATGTGTGGGTTTATATCTGAGTTCTCTATTCTGTTCCATTGATTTATGAGTTTGTTCTTGTGCCAGTACCATACTTTTTTGATTACTGTAGCTTTGTAGTATAGCTTGAAGTCAGTGTATGATACCCACATCATTGTTCTTTCTCAGGATTGCTTTGGCTATTTGGGGTATTTTGAGGTTCCATATGGATTTTAGAACAATTTGTTCTAGTTCGTTGAAGAATGCTGTTGGTATTTTGATAGGGATTGCATTGGATCTGTAGATTGCTTTAGGCAGGATGGCCATTTTGACAATATCACTTCTTCCTATTCATGACCATGGAATAGATTTCTACTTATTTGTGTCTTCTTTAATTTCTCTCATGAGTGTCTTACAGTTTTCAGAGTACAAGTCTTTCACATTATTGGTTATTCTTTTATTTGCAAATGTAAATGGGATTGTTTTTCTGATTTTTCTTTCTGCTAGTTTGTTGGTAGTATATAGGAATGCAACAGATTTCTGTGTATTAATTTTGTATCCTACAACTTTGTTGAATTCAGTTATTAGATCTACTAGTTTTTTGGTGGATTCCTTAGGGTTTTCCATATATAATATCATGTCATCTAAAAATAGTGACAGTTTAACTTCTTCCTTACCAATTTGGATGCCATTTATCTCTTTGTCTTTTTATTTGGGATTGTTCTTGTTTTTTGAGGTAGATCTGTATTGCTATATACTTTCCTCTTATTACTGCTTTTGTAGCATCCCACCAATCTGAATAGTTGAATTTTTGTGTTAATCTGTCTCTGTATTGTTTTATTTCTGTTTTAATTTTGTCATTGATCCATTGATTATTTAGAACCATGTTGTTTAGCCTCCATGTGTTTGTAGGGTTTTTTGTTTTCATGGTGTGATTTATTTCTAGTTTTATACCATTGTGGTCTGAGAAGCTGCTTGGTACAATTTCAGTATTTTTAAATTTACTGAGGCTCTTTTTGTGGCCTAGTATGTGATCTACTCTGGGGAACCTATTTATGTGCACTTATGTTGAGTCCATGATTATTTATAATGGTTATGTCTTCTTGTTGGACTGGTCCCTTTATCATTATGTAATGTCTTTCTTTGTCTCTTGTTACATTCACTGTTTTCAAATATATTTTTTCTGATATACGCTGCTACTCCTTGCTTTTTTATCCCTGTTGTTTGCATGAAATATCTTCTTCCATCCCTTCATTTATAGTCTGTGTATGTCTTTGGGTCTGAAATGAGTCTGTTGTAGGCAGCATACAGATGGGTCTTGTTTCTTTATCCATTCTGTCACTTTATGTCTTTTGATTGGTGCATTCAGTCCATTTACATTTAAGGTAATTATTGATAGCTATGTGCTTATTGCCATTTTATTAATTGTTTTCTGGTTGTTTTTATAGTTCCTCTCTGTTCCTTACTTTCTCTCTTCTACTATTGTCTTGTTATTTGATGGTTTTCTTTAGTGCTGTGATTAGATTATTCTTTTTAATTTTTTGTGTATCTGTTATAGGCTTTAAGTTGTGATTACCATAAGGTTCAAGGATAGCTTCCTGACTGTATAACAGTCTATATTAAGTTGATGATTGCTCTCTTTTAAAGACAATCTAAAACGACTTATTTTTTCTTCTTCCTCCTCCACTTTATGTATTAGATGTTATAATCTGTACTTTTTGTGTATCCCTTGAGTGATTTTGTGTATAGTTGGTTTTACTATTACTGTTTTGTTTTAATTTCATGCTTGCTTGGTAATTTAATGATCTACTCCCTTTACTGTGGGTTTATTTTCACTAATAAAAACTATTTAGCCTTGGGAACATGTTCATCTATAGCAGTCCCTTTAACATATCCTATAATTCTAGTTTAGTGGTTATAAATTCCTAAGCCTTTGTTTATCTGGGAATTGTTTAAATCTCTGCTTCAAATTTGAATGAGAATCTTGCTGGGTAGAGGGCTCTTGGTTGAAGGTCCTTCTGTTTCAATAAATTAAATATTTTTATTGCAACTCACTTCTGGCTTGTAAAGTTTCTCCTAAGAAATCTGGTGATAGCCCGAAGGGGTTTCCCTTTTAAGAATCTTTTTTCTCTCTCTGGCTGCTTTCAATATTCTTTCTCTATCCTAAATATTTGCCATTTGAATTACTATATGTCTTGGTGTTGTCTTTCTGGTGTTTCTTTTCTTAGGGGCTTTCTGAGCTTCCATCACCAGGGTGTCTATTTCCTTCCCCAGTCTGAGGAAATTTCCAAAAATTATTTCCTCAAAGAGACTTTCTATCCCTTTGTCTCTCTCTTTTCCTTCTGGTATCCCAATTATGTGAATATTGTTTCATTTGGATTGGTCACACAGCTCCCACGCTATTCTTTCATTCTTAGAAATTCTTTTTTCTCTTTTCCTCAGCTTTCTTGTGTTCCTGTTCTCTAATTTCCATCTCATTGATTGTGTCCTGTACTTGCAGCAATGTTTATTCATTTCTTGCATTGTATATTTCATTTCAGTTACTGTAATGAGATTGCTGATCTCTATTTCATTAAGCCCTCTTTCTGGTGTCTTATCCTGTAGCATTGTTTTGAACAAATTCCTCTGCTGCCTCTTCATTTTGTCAGGGTTGCTGTGTTTTTTCCTTTGTATTAGATGGATCTGCTATGCTGTCTGGTCTAGAGAGTAATGGCTTTCTGATGAAGGTGTCCTGTGGTGCTCAGAAGCTCAAGACTCTTTACTGTCCAGTGCCTGGTTCTCCTTTGCAGTGGAGCCCCATTTGTTGTTGGTGGGCAGTGGGTCTGCCTACAGTGGTCTCAGTCTGTTGCTGTTGGCAGTTTGCCTCAACTGGCCCTTTGTGATCCAAATAGTGGCTTCTATGAGATTGTTGTGTGTGTGTGGTGGAGGGTGGCGCCACCCTCTGCCTGCCCTGCAGTGAGGGTAGGGTGGTTGCTGCTCTGGGGCAGGGTGGGGTCATGGTGAGTTTCACAGTAGCCCCCTGGTGGTGGCAAGGCACACAGCACTGGGTTTGGCTGCCTGGGGGAAGAAGGAGACTATAATTGGCTCCTGCTGGCACCTACCCACTTGGGCTGAGACAGGGCCAAGTAAGCTGGGAGATCCTTCATAGGCCTGCGAGTAGCAAAGTCTGTCACTGCTGGGCCGAGTTGGCTGGCACACAGGTGGTGCACAGAAGCTGAGCTGCCAGTGAGGGGGATGGAGCATCTGGAGCTCCTGAGAGTGCCTGAACTGTTGGGCCAAAGGAGAGCTCAGATGGAAGAAGGGCTTGCGTCCTGCTCCATTGCATCTCTGCCACTTTACCATTTTCAGAGTGGTCTTCCCTTCTTCCCCAGGTGTAGGTGGTCTATTCTGCAGTCTTCAGGTTCTTTTCAGGTTTAGCTTTATTTACTACATATAGTTTCTTCCTTGGTGTGTTTGCCTCAGGGAGACGAACAGAGTTGTGAAGGTATAGGCACCCAGGAACACAGCACACCTGGTCCTGGAGATGTGCTCTGGGAGCACGAGTCCACATTGCATTGGGTTCTGGTGATTAGTGGGTCTGGACACCAGGGACAGGGACAGGTGATGGGAGGAGATTTCCGCCTTGCCTTCCTACTCTGCCATCTTTTATTCTGGGAGCTCCTATATGCTATATTTTACATGTATTGCTTGAATCACCCAATGACTGTACGTTTTTTAAATTGGTTGAAAACATATAAAAATTGGGAGTTTTATAATTGCATTTCTCTCGAAAAAACTGGAACTTCTGGCAGCACTGAGTCCACATTCTCTGTAGATAGGACATTTGTTCTTTGGTTTATCAGTCCCCATGTAGCCTGCTTCTACTTTCTGTAAACTTTCTGACCCCAATAAGCATTTTCATTGTCATTCTTGAAAAACAGAAATTGCTTTCAGTTGGAGAGAAAGAAAAGAAATGATTAAACATATACATTCCCTTCACCTCCATCTCCCACAGCATAAATTGGTTAGAATGTAGTGCTAATGAGGGTCTAAATTCAGGTTTAATTCTGTAAGACTCTGCTTAACCCCAGTAGACCTACTATAAGCATATTTGTGAGCTTTGGTCACCAAATGGATCCATTTGGTATGAACAGATGGGTGAAAACAACCATCATTTGTGGGAATATAACTTAAATTTTTTCTTTACTAACCAAGTGTAAATATTCTCTTTCCTATATGAATGGGGAAATATGAGGAAAAATATATCACTGGTAATCATTCAAACCTCTGTTTTATTGGTAATGAAGAAAAACTTTAGTGAAGTCTTCTTAGGCTAAATGCAAATTAGGTTATATTTCCTTTATACAGAACAATATAATTTGGCCACAGACATCAACCAAATTTATATTTCTAAATTTTGCCTGATAGCCCATGGTTTTTAAATTGGCTTAGGTATAATAAAAAGTAGGTTACAATTTAATTGTTTAACAAATTGTCTCCCATGTGTCAGTTAGCTTTTGCTGCATAAAAAAACACCCTAAAACTTAATGACTTAGAATGACAAATATTTATGATCAGTCATAATTCTGAGTGTTGGTCAGGTGATTGTTCTGGTCTTGGCTGGGCTTGAATGCTGATGATAATCTAAGATGACTCACTTTCATTCCTGGTGGTTGGTGGTTGGTTGGTCTTCAGTGGAAGCTGCTCATGTGGTCTCTCATCTTCCATTAGAGCAGGGCAGGTTTCCTAATACAGAGGTCTGAAAGAACAATAAGAGAAGGTGAGCTTTAATGAGCAAAATGCTTTCAAGCTTCTGCTTGTCGAACAATTGCTAATATCCCACTGGTCAAAGTAAGTCATATGGTTGAGTACATATTCCAGGTATCTAGATTTAGCATGAGAGGAAGAAGATCACTTTGCACTTTAATAATTGTATTCCCATATGAACCTATAGCATGGAAAGGTCCCAAATGTTCAAAAAGGAATTTCTCACTTGTTAATTTAGTAGTAATAATCACTAAAATGAAATTCCTCAAAGAAAAAGTTGATTCTTTATGAAATTTGCCTGCAATAGTATATAAAGAACTTTTATGCCTGACCTTTTAAGCAGATATCACTGTATTTACTAATAAAGCTTGCTAAGTCAGATTTTATCCAGAATAGCATAGGTCTAGTTCTAGCATAGTTTTTCCACCTGAGGCATAATATTGTTAAATGAACTCTGATTTTCATTGTCTTCCCTGATATACAGAAAGATCTTTCAGTTGGAGAGACAAAGAAAAGAAACTATTAAACACATACACTCTCTCCACCCCCACCACCCTATATTGAACTCTGTATAAATAACTTGGAGGCTAACAACGGCATTAATCAGCAAAACCCTCGATAAACCATATCTTCTTTCTTGCTCTCTTATCTAGCACAAAAAAGATTTCATCCCTAAAGAAGATTCTTAGCACATTATCTATTGCAGTCGTTTCTGGAATTACCTGGGTTCTGGCATACCTTATGCTAATTGAAAATGAGAACGTCAGGATCATCTTCAGCTACATGTTCTGCCTTTTCAACACTACTCAGGTATGGTGTGGATTAGTCTGAAAGTAGCAGACCATATATTACCCTGGATAATATTACCCTGGATCAAAGTTTTCTTCTTTTAAAACTTCCTGAAGATCGTTTAGTTACCTATAGGAAACTCTATTTTTAATACACTTTGAGAGAAAAGGAAGGGAAGTTCTTTATGACTTACTTACCTGCTATGTTCTTTCCTGGGCTGGGGTTCATAGAATATAATTGTGATAGGGTTAAACTAGTTAGCCCCTCTTCTATGAGCAGAAGATATGTTGACACACAACTATCTTTGGAAACATTTCTGTTCCTTTCCTTCCATGTGACAGGTTCACAGCAGCTTCTCACCATGGTTGGTGTGGACAATGTTACAGTTAGTGCTGGAGCTTGAACCCCCAGTGGCTGAAATTTTTTCTTTTTTTTTTTTTTTTT